CTGCTGCCCTCAGTCACAGAAGATTCACATCAGCCCACCCATCCTTGATACTTGGCAGCCAGTGCCTTCAAGGCATATCTGAACTTTTTGTACACTCCTTTTCAATAATTTTTGGGAGAAACTATTCAATTACCCTGAATGTTGCCTATTTCACCTTTGACAACTTTCTAACATCAGAAACTGGAGGGAAAAAAGATATCTTAGCTCCAATTCAAAATCACTTTTCTTACTGGGAATAGGCACAACAATGTGATCCCAGATACTCAAAAGGCCAAGGGAGGAACATGATAAGTCAAGACCAGCCTGGGCAAGGACAACTTAGCAAGACCATGTCTCAAAAAGGGCTGTGGCCCAAGCACCACAAAAGAAGAAAGAGAGAGAGAGAGAGAGAGAGCAAGAGAGCGCGAGCGCGAGCGAGCTTAACCAATGGTTAATGAATAAATTACAATGATTGATTAAAAAAAAAGGCCGGCGGGGGGGGGGGGGGGGGGGTGGGGTGGGGCTGTGGCTGTAGCTCAGTGGTAGTGTATTTGCCTAGCACATGCAAGGTCCCAGGTTCCAAGCCCAGTACCAAAACAATAAATAAATAAGTTCCACATCCCAGAATCCATTACATTTTTATTTCTTAAAACATTTCTGTTTTCAAGAAATTCCCTACATGAAGGGTGATAATGGGGTGGGGGGAGCAAATCAGTTTTTCTATTGTTCAGTGGGAGAAATGAGAGGCTAGGTCATTTCAAACAATTGAAAATGGAAGTACCCTTGGGAGAGAGCTCTCCTAACAAAAGAGAGCTGCATTTGAAGTGTCATGAATTGGAACTTAGCTGTCAGTTCACTGAATAAGAGGTGATAAGATGACAACATTTCAATCTAAGAAAGTGCTGGTTTCTTAAAATGATTATGAGGTCTTCTTTCTATATTTCCTAAGATGTTGATTCTAGTCAACGTAATTCTGAACCAAGGCAGTAAGCCATCTGGAATTTTTTTCCCCTACATAAGACCTCAGGAGTGATCATACTAGATGAAAAATCATTGCTTTGATGGGTATGGTAGTGCACACCTGTAATCCCAGTGACTCCAGAGGCTAAGGCAGGAGGATCCTAAATTCAAGGCCAGCCTGTGCAATTCAATGAGATCCTATCTCAAAATAAAAAGGGCTGGGGATATAGCTCAGTGGTAGAGTGACCCTGGGTTCAATCCAAGTAGCACAGAGAAATTAAAAAAAAAAAAAGGAAGGAAGGAAAGAAGGAAGGAAGGAAGGAAGGAAAAACCATTGCTTGGCTTAAAAGACGAGATGAATTCAACCCAAGATTAGTCTGGTGCCACAGAAACCTACCCCCTGTGCTCCAAAGTAGATAATGAATGCATCAAATTCAATTATTCAGCCCTAAAAGATATAGAACAATTCTGGGCTAGCAAAGTTTAAGCACTGGGTTTTCAAAGACAAGGGCAGTGACCTTGAAGGTTTCTTTTCTCTTGGTTTTAGGTTTTAAGCCTTTAATCTTCACTGTCCATATTATCTTTTTTTTTTTTTGGAGGGGGGGGGTAACCAGAGATTGAACCCAAGTGTGCTTAATCAAACTCAGCCATACCCCCAGCCCTTTTTTATATTTAGAGACAGGGTCTCACCTAGTTGCTTGCAGCCTCGCTAAGTTGCTGAGGCTGGCTATGAACTTGAGATCCTCCTGCCTCAGCCTCCTGAGTCACTGGGATTTCAGGCATGTGCCACCTTGATCAGCACTATCTGTATTCTTATCTCCACTTTATTACCATCTCAACATGGAAAGGGCCTAGCATGTGATGGGTAACAAGTAAGTAACTCATTGTGACAAAGCAATTTTAATGTCAGAGCGAAACATTCATCCTTTCCTCAAATACCTGTTTTTGATTTATAAGCTTGGCTGATCAAATCAAAGGGCAGCTGATACTCTTTCACTGTAGTATATACCTCAACTGCTGGAAGCCAGGAGAGCAGGCAAACGATGAATAGAAAAAGAACTTCCTTCCATTAGATATGGAAACTGTCCACTCTATCCCCTTCTCAAAGGCAGCACACTAAGACTTCAGTGCTGATGCCTGTTTCCAGGACAGCCTACTTAGGTTCTAAAATCCCCCAAATTAAATGTTCTTTATTATTCTTCCACTCCTAAAAGTCCTAAGTCAACATAACTTTGACCATATAGGATGCTCTAATCCTTCTTGAGTTCTGAGATCCTGTTCAATTTCACTTAAAAGGGCTAATTATTATGTCTGATCAAAGAGGGATCATTTACCTTAGTTGGGCCACCTTTTCTACACAAGACCAACAGAAATGAGCCAGGTACAGTGGGGCACACCTATAATCCCAGCAACTCTGGAGGCTGAGAAAGGAGAATGGTAAGTTTGAGGACAGCCTCAGCCTAAGCAACTACCTCAAAGTAAAAGAGAAAAAGAATTGGGGATGTAGCTCAGTAGTAAAGTGCCCCTGGGCTCAATTTCTAGTACCAGAAAAATCAAACAAGACCACAGAAATGGCAGTATCCCATTGTACCAGAGATTTTTTTTTTTTTTTGCAGATCTGAGAAAGGTGAGCTGCATCTAGCTAAGCACATTGGAAAGGAAAGCAAAGCTCCCAGTTCAGTAATTCAAACAAGTTAAAAACCAAACAAACAAAAAAACCAGAAAGCATCCACAAAGACATACTTAAAAATGGGTGGGTGATGTTGCAGAATGCTGTTTAGAACACAGATCACTCTCCTGCCTAGAGATGGGTAGAAAAGTGTTTTTTTGAAGTAAATAGGGAATGTGTAATTTGGGCCTCTGATTCTTTTGTTTCTGCAATACTGAAGTTGGAACCCAAGGCCTCATGCATGCTAGGCAAGTGCTCTACCACTAAGCCATGTCCCCAGCCCTGGGCCTCTGATGCTTCACAGCAGAGATTTTTAGTTCTCTTGATTACATATTTCCTAAATTAGAATAACTTATCAATTGGGATTGTGTTTTTACTGATGAATACTATCAATCTTCCTTCTTTTCCAGCTAACTCACCAGCTGAAGATTTCAATGACTGGTTTGCTTAATTGAAGTTCAGATTTTAAAAAGGGTGGGGAGAAAGGTAAACGAGGAGGATAGAAACTGGAACCCAGGAAAAATAATCTGTAAATATTTCATATTAACTGATCTCAAGAAACAGTCTTGGTCTTTGAGTACAGGAGAGACTCATTACATGGAAAGAAATTTGTTTTCTATTTCCTACCACTGGGAGAGAAAGATATGCATAAAACTCCACCAGAAATCATTTTTTTTAATATTTATTTTTTAGTTTTAGGTGGACACAATATCTTTATTTTATTTTTATGTGGTGCTGAGGATCGAACTCAGTGCCTCATGCATGCCTGGAGAGCACACTACCACTTGAGCCACATCCCCAGCCCCACACCAGAAATCTTTATTGTTAAATTGGAATAAAAATTCTTGAGTTCTGTGATCCTGTTCTTTATTTATACTGCTGAGTTTCCAGAGTAAACTCTCCCTCTTTTGAGCTGATCTGGACTAGGAGTGACATCTAATCAGTGGAGTTGGTTTATGGCCAACCCTGCCTAAAAGCAAAGAAGGAGATCCAATGTTCTTGGAAAGACCCTTGCCAGCTCTAGTTTTTTAATACTAGGTGATGACACAGAAGGAAATAATGTATTTAAGATAGTCACATCGGATACCAGTAAGTGCTCTTTTATTATAAATGCAAAAAAATAAGGACTCCTTTCAAGAGTACTCCTCACCCAAAATAAGGCTAGACCTTTGAGAAACTCACTAGGGATACTAGGTCTTAAATTTTGCAAAGCTGGGTTTACCAAAACAATAATAATCCTACTTTCTAAAATCTAGTCATTTGTTATTGCAACTTTATTTTCCTATCATTATTTTCAACCATGTTTTTCTCCTCCTCAAATTTACTGATTCCCCACCCATTTTTCAGCACTCAATTGGTTCTGAGGTTTCTATCAGTCTGTCCTACTAACCTCCCACTCCTAACTACCACAGCTGCCCCTTGTGTTCTAGCCAAAGACATGTCTTGGCACCATTTTCCTTATTCCCACTGCTGCCCCCACACCAACCCCCACCTCCTATGTCTAGAACAGCCTCCCACTTCCATCTGCCATTTTTCTCTTGCCTCTTGATCTTACCATTGCCTCAAAACCCACCTCTCCCAAGAAGCCTACCTTAATCAAAATGAAGGATTCTGCACTGATGGCTACTGTGTCCCAAATTTTCAAAACATGAAATATGTTTCTTGGATAAGAGGCAATTCCTTCATAACTAACCAGGGTGATGGTGGTGGTGGAATATGTTTTCTAGAGATAAAACTATGCAAAAAAAGAAAACCATTTCCACAAACCATCCTTTTCAAAGAATAGAATTCTTCTATTTAAATTCTCTAAAAAGTATCCTTTTCACTTTTCATCCCCTATATGATGTCTACTAGCAAACTGCAAGCATATTTACATCAGTCAAAACTTTGCACTGATGCTCCCAACAACCACATACTACTCACATGTTTGAATGTTAAAGGAACTGAAGAATCATTGGCTATTGGAGGTGATCTGTGCAGATTCTGCACAAATTTCTATATACATTTTGCTTCTAGCAGAAATGATATATCCATGAATTTGGCTTCTTATTTTGCAGAAAGGTTTGAGGTCCAAGTTTCAGTTGTGGTGGTGCTATTCACCCCATATCTAGTGAGTCTTGTATATGAAGCTGTTTTACTTCTGTTTTAAAAGCAGCTTTTATTGCAGGCTAGCCTTTTACCATAAGAAATTAGGGTTCAGGTCTCAGTCCAAGCAAAGCTGAGGTTAGTTGCATCATCTCCATCCCCAGGGACCTGGTATCCTGGGAAACCCTGGGTAAGAACAGGGTGAGTCCAGGACACACATGTTAGGAGAGATGGTGCAGCGTGACGGGGCGGGCATCCAACACCCTAAGTGTGCTTTAGTTACCAGAATATTCGACACACCCACAAATTAAATAGCAAAAACACTTTAATCCATTAATTCTAAAAATAACAGAGACATTTTATATCCGGTGCCACCTCCTCAAAAGTCTACTACAGATCAGACAGCCACACTGCAAAGTACATAGTCAGACATCAGAGATGCAGTTTGGGACAAGAACATCACGGGGAGATATTCCTCCTCTTTGCTTATAAACATAAGTTTCAGCTTAAAAAATCCTTAGAAGAGAGCCTTTCTCATGCTCTCAAACCTTTCTCTTTTATTCTAAATTTCTCTGCAATGTCTGAAGGCAAAACAGATAATCAGCAAATAGCTCTCAAGTACAAGGATCTGAGCTGAACTCCTGGGAATAAACACTGTGGTTTGGTTTGGTTCTATTTCTACCAACACTGTGATGTGAGGTACTATGGTTCTTGTTTTAGTTACAAGAGGTGTTAGGAATAAATGCCCACTCACATTTAATAATAGCTTATCTAGCACACAACTCTGCAGCACAATACCAACATAGGAGTGCTTTAAAGCAGGGTAAAGAAGAAAGCAGACATTAATACAACTGAAGGTTTCCTTTGTCCTTCCCCTCTTTTTACAATGATAATTTGGATGAAAATCAAACTTTCAGAATGCTTATACTGTCCTTTGACCCACCACATTCCAAACTTCTGACTTGTGATCCCAAGCCCTTGGAGCCTCAGGCTTTAGTGATGTATCCTTCTCGGATGAGGAAATCATAGATTTTCCGGGTTTTGTTCACGTCTATCTTGATGAGTGCTCTTGCCTGTGCCAGTCTCAAGCCTCCTTGCTTGTTACATTCGTTCAAAAGAGCAGATTTGTATTCTAAATAGGCTCCAGGGACCAACCTCACCATCTGACAGAGCTGCAAGACACAGCAAATTTAATAAACATTAACATCTGTCTTTCTCATAATTTAATCCAGCAGGTACAGCAAAAAACAAAAAAGTGACATCAACTTCAAACTATTTATAGGAGCTGTTGAGTGGCTGGACCACATTCCACTTAGTCTGTTCCTATCTAGAGACCAACACTACCTAAGGATAGACAACCAGGAAGAAAAAATCAGGGTGTGATGCTAGGAGAGCCTATAGCACGTGCAGGCTGGCTCAGGGGCCTGGTTCTGTTAGGAAATACATGTATGTGTTCCTGAGGAGCCTGGCTCACTCAGGAGTGGAGCATTAAATGCCTGGGTGGGGCCCCACACCATCCCAACACTCTGTCCAAGAAGAGCCACAGGGCACAGTGGGGACACAGAGTATAGGTGCTTAGATTCCCAAGTGTGAATCACATTATTGTTAGTACTGTCATTAAGGAGTAGTCCCTGTTTTTGTGATTACATTTCCTACTCTGGAGAAGAGGACACTTTAACTGCTAAAAACCTAGAAAGGTTGCTCAATTCCAGTTCACCTGCCATTATCCAGCAATGAGTAGTCTGAGGTCACCATTATGTGGCTAAGGATAAAAATATTTCTAGGCCATTCAAAATTTGAATCAGATTGGCCTGTGACTTTCTTAAGCAATATGTAGATAAAATATGTACCTCCTTCTACCTCCAAAATAATCTTTACCATTCCTGATGGATAAAATAGAACCGCACTACAATGGTTCCTTGTAACATGAGCTAATGCCACAGAATGGCAGGTGGAGGACTGATCTGGGGAACTGTAAAAGGGGTACGTGAGGAGCAGAGAGGATGCTTCTCTGTTGAAATGGACTTCATGTCTCAGACATATCCTGTTGAAAATCTGACAAAGGCAGTGTGAGTGTGTGTGTGTGTGTGTGTGTGTGTGAGAGAGAGAGAGAGAGAGAGAGAGATAGATAGATGAGAGAGATATATGCTGGGGACAGAACCCAGGACCTCAGGTATGCTAGGCAAGCACTCTATAACCGAGTTACATTCCCAGTCCCACTATATATATAAAAATTAATGTATGACTAGGGCTAGGGACATAGCTAGTGGTAGAACCCTTACATAACATGTGCAAAGTTCTGGGTTCAATTATCAGCACCACAAAACAAATGAATAAAAATTAATTTATGACTATAAAAAGTGGTATAGAGACAGTCCAAAAATGTTTTAAGTGAAGGTTACATCGTTGGAATAAGTACAGAACTTCTCAAAGTGACCAATCTCATAGGAAATACCGATTTTTATGTAAGTTATTTTAAGTTTATAAAAAAAACTTCATTTACATAAAGTTCCTACTGTCTGACACAAAGTAAATGCTCAGTAAATAAGAATCGTTATTATTTAATTGACATTATCACATGAACTTTCCCCAAAAGAGGAATGGTAGCAGGGTAAAGAAAGTTTTTTTGTTGTTTGTATTTGGCACTAAGGACTGAACCCAGGGATGTTTTTACCACCAACCCACATCTCCAGTCCATTTATTTTTTATTTTGATACAGCATCTTGCTAAGCTGCTTGGGGCCTCACTAATTTGCTAAGACTGCTTTTTTTTTTTTTTTGATACTGGGGATTGAACCCAGGGGCACTCAACTACTGAGCCACATCCCTTCTCTTTTTTATATTTTATTTACAAACAGGGTCTCACTGAGTTGCTTAAAGCCTGGCTAAGTTGCTGAGGCTGGTTTTGAACTTGTGATCCTCCTGCCTCAGGCTCCCAAGCTGCTGGGATTACAGGTGTGCACTACCATGCCCAGCTGAGACTGGTCTTGAACTTGCAATCCTCCTGCCTCAGCCTCCCAAGTCCTTGGGATTATGGGTATGCACCACCATGCCTGGCAAGAAAAGAGCTCTCTGAAACCTACCAAGGATAGCTCCTAGACTACAGGGACACACTAGACCTGTGTACATGTTAGATGAGCAGAGCAAAATAGGCTTGATACTGTAATGTTAGTTTTTTTTTTTTTTTTGGTATATGTGGTACTGGGGTTTAACTACATCCCCAGTCCTTTATTTATATATATATATATATTTTTTTTTTTCAATATTTTTTTAGTTGTAGTTGGACACAATGCCTTTATTTTATTTTTTGTTATGTGGTGCTGAGGATTGAACCCAGCATCTCACACATGCTAGGCGAACACTCTACTGCTGAGCCACAACCCCAGCCCCTAGTCTTTTATATTTGAGATAGTTCCCCAGGCTCCTAAGTAATTGAGATTACAGACAAGGGTACCACCATGCCCAGCTTTTAATGGGCTTCTCATAATAAGTAAATGAATAATCAGCCCGTATTCTCTTCCCCAAAGTCCCCTTCTTTTTGTTACCTCCTTTTCTTTTTCATTCAGCTTTTCTGTGCCAGGGAGGCCAGTGAGATTCAAGGGTGGTGCACTCCGTCTACCTACAAGACACAGGCAGGAAAAAAAAACAACATGTATTTCATAGGAGCAACAACTGCTCCGGTATAAAGTATAACAAAGTTCGAAGCACAGACCAGTTAGGTGTAGGATCAATACATCAATCTGTAGAAACACTCAACCTGCCCCTCAGGCCTGTTTAGCTAGAAACATGCACATCCCAATATTCACTTGAAAATAAAAATGAGGGGCTGGAGATGTGGCTCAAGTGGTAACGCGGTTGCCTGGCATGCGCGGGGTGCTGGGTTCGATCCTCAGCACCACATAAAAATAAAAATAAAGATGTTGTGTCCACCGAAAAACTAAAAAATAAATATTAAAAAATTCTCTCTCCTCTCTCTCTCTTAAAAAAAATAAAGTAAAAATGATAATTCACGTGTCCTTTGCTCTGCCAAAGTACACAATCTCATATATCTTAGCATGTAATATGACTGCTCACCACAGCAGTTATCATCCATTTCTTCCTACCACATAGGAGACTAAGATCCAAAGCCCAGATGTCATTCAGTAAAGAAAGGACATCCACTGCCTAACTTAACAACTGATGAATGGAAATAACAACTCTGCAGGAGAGACATTCCTAATCCTCCCAACTCTGCCAGCAAGACAAGGTAAACATGGTAATTAACCAAATACCATGTGCCTTCAGATCAAAGGCAAACTGTTAGGCCAGCAAAAGGCCCTTCTTATTAATATGTGAGAGAATATCTGTTCCTTTCAAAGGAGCCCTGTTTACCTAAAAGATACACACACAGGAACAATAAGCCATTATATGGCAAAGCAGGAACTAAGGTCAACTCACATACCTGAGAAAGAAATCCAAACAGGAGATCACTGGCCAGGCCAGGATGGGAAGTTTGAGGTGCAAGTTTGGGGTGGCAGCGCGGGGAAGGCGGGGGTGGGGGGTGGGTGTATTTTGAATGTATATTTGAGATTAATGTTCTAGGGGTGAATGGAGTGAGTTAAGCAAAAGAAAATGTAGAATACTATATTAACAAGTTTTATGGGGAACACCTTTTACAGAAAGAGAAGGGACTATTTTAAACTGCTCTATTGAAAAAGAGGCTCCTCTATAATATCAACAAAGGAGATAAGGGCTTACCCTAAATGCTCAAAAAAGAAGATAAAAATCATATGGCATCTCACAAGTCACCAGAGGCTGGCTACAAGCAGTGATCCCCAGGCTTTCAACCTTTCATTACCTAAAGAGCAACTCCCAGCAGTAAGAAAGCAGGGTCTCCTCAACCTAAATATAAGGGGTGAGGAAAACTAACGCTAGCCTAAAAACAAAAACAAAAAAACAGTGAATAAGTGAGTGCATGTGGTCAAAAAACCCCACAAATACCAAAGCTGTGTAATCATGTTAGCCAGTTCATTCATTTTAATTAGCCAGTATTAAGTATTCTGTATTTAGATTGCATGGAAGGACTGGAAGTAAGAAAATTTAAAAATAAAACATGGATTTCATTGTCTTGACAACTCCCTAAATGGCTTCTTTTCCTCTTTTAAGTATTCAGAAATAATTTACTTAAAACAAAGGGGGGGAAATATTATTCATCAAAGAGCCTTATCTGAGCCCTATCTAGATTCTGAATGTCATAAATAATTTAGCAAAGTCTATTGTTCAGAGCCTTCAAAGAATGGTAAAAGAGCAAATTATTATTATTATTATTATTTTTGGTGCTGGGGGCCTTGTGCATGCGAGGCAAGCACTCTACCAACCTGAGCTATATCCCCAGCCCCATGAATTGCTTTTTGACTACTCTATTCCTACTCAGTGGAATGGTCTGTATATTCTTATTAGGAGAAATGGCTATCTATTCATATGGAGTAGAGGGAGATGATAACTAGGAAAACAGGCAAAGAAACACCACAATCTTGGTTCAGAGCAGCACAAGTAATACCTTCCCAAATCCCTAGTCATTGATTTCCAATCACCAAGAGCATCAGAGAGCATATGGCTTAATCTTGCTTTGTAAAACTAATCTCAAAAATAGGACATACCCAAAGAGTTAAAGGTTTAGAAATAGAAATACATAAAGTCTACCGCTTATAAAAAGCCTGAAGTTTCTGGCAAGTAACATGTTTCTTTCCCCATATCAGAAAGATTTTTAACTTATCTTATATGAGATGCATCTCAGAATCTGTGGTAGATATAACAGCAGTAAACAGACTGTGAAAACTAGTAAAACAAAGAAGCTACCTTTCTAGAATCCTTTCTTCACCTGTCTTCCTACTCTGGTTATAAATTAGCCTAACATTTGATTACTATTAATCCACTGAGAAGAAGAGGACTACTGGATCACCTCTCAAATACAAACTTCACAATCAAGACTTACCTGGGGCTGGAGGCTGCTAAGTGGTAGAGAGCTTGCTTATCACCCACAGAGCCCTGAGTTTCATCCCCAGCACCAAACATACAAAAAAGACTTGCCTGGGAAATAATTACCTGAATTCGAAGCCATCGGAATGGAAGGAGTCAGCCCAGAATCACTAAAACAAAGAAAAGGAATTTAAGCTTAGGTCATATCAAAGAAGGCAATTTCCAAAAGTCCCTATGGGACTTTATCAGGAAAGTCACTTTGAAGAGATATAATAAGATAAACTGCATAATGTTTTACAGGATACCTTACTATACTGACCAGGAAAGAAAATCTCTTCTGAGGGGAAAAAAACTCCTTGGATTGGCTAAGGAAAGTTTGTTAGTTTGTGTGAAATAAGAGCTCTTAGCATGGAACATCCCAACAGCATTCATGGGGAAGGGAAAGGAATGTGATTTTCAATGCAAATCATACCAGAAGACAAGGGGAAAAAAAAAAAAAAAAAAAAGGCACAGGTGGAAGGCTAGGCAGAACATACTAATTTTTAAAAATAAGATTACAATAGGAAAGTAGGATTGCAGGAGACCAGTTGTTTCTTAATTGTCAGTGCTGTACTATTTCTGAGATGAACTTCTAAAATCTTTTTGAAAACAACTGTGGAGCAGGAGGGTAATGGGGATTGAATCCAGAGGCACTTTACCATTGAGCCATATCTCCAGTAAATAAATAGAATATCCACAACAGTAAACAGACTGTGAACACTGGTAAAACAAAGAAGCTTTTTTGTTTTTTTATCTTGAGATAGGGTCTCACTAAGTTGCTTAGGGCCTCAAACTTGTGATCCTCCTGCTTCAGCTTCTCAAATCATTGGGATTACAGGGGTACACCACTGGACCCAGCTGAATTTTTTTTTTTTTTTTAATTATGGGACCTGTCATTACATATTTGTACATACACACAATATAACAATATAACTTGGCTAATATCATTCCCTAGTATCTTTCTGAATTCTTCTAGCTACCCAGATTTTATTACTTAGCCATCTCAGGTGCCCACAGAATCTGAAACACATGTGAAGCTAAAGTGTCCCAGAAGGAGTGCTTCCCCATCCAGGTCTTGAATTGCTCACATGTCAGCCTGCCGACGGAGCCACTGTTGGCAGGCACTACTGTCTTGGATGTACTGGAGAACTTCAGAGAGCATGGTGCGTTTAAGGCGTTCTTCTTCTCTCGTCTTCTTTAGGTGATCATATGTTCTGGCACCTGGAGGTGTAGAAAACACCATGACCACAACGACAATGCAGCAGAAGGCAAGGGCCTCTTAACCAATCAGCAAACAGTTTGTCTTTTTTTGTTTTTTTTTCCTGCAAAACTGCATTCACTATTATTATTATTATTATTGAACTGGGGATTAAACACACGGTCATTTTACCACTGAGCTATATCCCCAGTCCTTTATTATGAACATCATACTTTTATTTATTTTTATATGGTGCTGGGGATCAACCCAGGGCCTCACATGTGCTGGGCTCTACCACTGAGCCACACCCTCAGCACTACCACCCCCAGTCCTTTTTAAAAAAATATTTTTTTGAGTTATACATGGACACAATATCTTTATTTTGTTTAATTTTATGTGGTGCTGAGGATTGAACCCAGTGCCTCTCACGTGTGAGGCAGGCTCTCTGCCAGTGAGCCACAACCCCCGCCCCCCCGCCTAATCCTTTTTATTTGTTATTTTGACAATAGGGCCTCACTAAAGTTTCTGAGTCTGGCCTCGAACTTGCAATCTTTCTGCCTCAGCCTCCTAAGTAGCATGTACCACCATGCCTGGCTAATTTTACATTTCCAAAATGGTTTCTGTTGTTAAAAATAAAGACTATTACACTTGAACTTATATCCATAGAGCTATGTTAAGAAGCTAACTACTTTTTATTTTTATTTATTTAAATATTTATTTTTTAGTTGTAGTTGTACATAATACCTTTATTTTATTTATTTTTATGTGAGCTGAGGATCAAACCCAGGGCCTCGCACATGCTAGGTGAGTGCTCTGCCACTGAGCTACAGCCTTAGCCAGCTACTTTTTATTTTTTGAGACAGGGTGTTGCTAAGCTGCTGAGACTGCCCTTGAATTTATGATCCTCTTGTCTCAGTCTTCTGAGTTGCTGGTATTACAAGCATGCACCACTGTACTGGGCCATAGCTACTTCTTGTGTGTAGTGGATATCTTTTAACTACCACAGAAACTTCAAATATGCAGAAGAAAGGAATGCTATAGATCACTCCAACAGCAATAGTAAAACAACAGAAAACAGCCTGTATATGCGCTGGAGTTGTGGCTCAGTGGTAGAGTGTTTGCCAAGCGTGAGGCACCGGGTTCAATCCCCAGCACCACATAAAAAACAACAACAACAAAAAAAAACTAAACAAAATAAAGGTATTGTGTCCATCTACAAATAAAAATATTTAAAAAAAGAAAATAGCCTTTATTAAGGATTTGCTGTGTGCCAGGTGCTATGTTTTCCCATACAATCTTTCTCTTTCTCTCTCTCTCTCTCTCTCTTTTGTAAAGGGATTAAACCCAGGGGCACTTAGCCACCAAGCCACATCCCCAGCCCTTTTTTAATTTTTTGAGACAGGGCCTAGCTAAATTGCTGAGGCTGGCTTTGAACTTGTGATCCTCCTGCCTCAGCCTCCCAAGCCACTGGAATCACAGGCATGTGCCCAGGCACATGTACCTTGCCCAGGCACACAATCTCTAATTTAGTCTTCATTCTAAGAGACTCAGAAAATGAAAACTTGAATAGAATTACAGAGTCAGTAAACAGTGGAGTCAGAATCTAAACCTAACCTGACTAGTTTTTTTTTTTTTTTTTTTCCCCTGTGCTGGGGATCAAACCCAGAGCATCACACAGGCTAGGCAAGCACTTTATCACCAAATTATCTGAGTTATATCCCCAGGCGTAAGCTGTATGGTTTTAACTGCAGTAATACACTGCCTTCCCATACGACCTGGCTTTACTATTAACTTGATCTTGAAACTTTAGTTTCTTCATTAAACAGAAGTAACAGTACCCCATAAGTTTGTCATGAGACACTAAATGACATGATGCAAGTTTGAACAAGTTCTCATAGGGCCTGGTGCATTAATATAATTATGACAGGACCTTAAGTAAATGGGTACATGTACCTAGAGTCAGCTAAAGCTTGGTAAATAAAAACAATCAGGCCATGAATAACTAAATTTAAAAAGGGTAAAGTTAAAACCTGGAATTGGAAACAAGAGCTACAGCAGAATCCTACATCTAAAGCACCACTCTCTTTTCTATGTGTTATGACTTTTATGCTACCTCAGATAATCTATATAATGATATTTATAGGGATTTAACAGATGAAACTTTTCTAGAAAGATTGAAAATTCATTCTGAAAAAGAAAAGCTTAATTTAAAAAAATCACAACCCCTTTGAGAATCCCTGCATATAAAGATGCCCCTTTTATATACTTACTACAAAAATTGGTAATGCCTGCTGTCCTATATTCCTGGAGCCGCTTGATTTCCCTTCGAAGTTCAAATTCCACTGTTTTCCCCAAAAGAACAAAGGAAAAAATATTTTAAAAACAAAATCAACATCAATAAGTATTTCTGCTGTAAAGCGTTTTCAGTAATTCTTGTCTTACATAAAAGACTGGGCAATTTCATCTAGGGAATCCTTTTTATTGATAATCTTTTATTAGAAATTTACCCAAAAGCTGAGAAAAGCCTACTCTAAATGTCTCCAGCTGCCATCTCCAAATGCAGTAGCTGGAAATTTTTTTTTTTTTTTAAGTTTTCTCTTAGAAAACTTAAGTTGGCTGAATTCATGTGTCCCCTAAAGTAATGAATATAATTTGTTAAATAACCAAGCTTTCCTGGTTTATCTATTCTCTCTCAAAATTTTTACTCATACAACCAAGTTTGTGAAACCCATCTCTGGTATTACTTGATGTTGCCCTAATGCAAAAGAAGAACACAAGTTCTCAAGTCCCAGTTAGTTTCTTTATAGCTTTTCTCCTATAGGGACAAAAGAGCATTGTGTTTTCCATAAACCAAAGATTTCTGCCTCCTCTGAGAACACAGATCAGGTTGCACTGCTCAGGTTATTATGTGAAAGGGCATTCAAACTTGGGTGCTTTTGAAACAGAGGATGAAGGAAAAGCCTGGACAATCCATGGGGTGTAGTTCTTTGGAGTGACACATAAACCAGGGATGACACAAACTGGGACAGGAAGTAAAAGATCAGTCACTCAGAATGCCAACCAAACAAGGTGTTTGCTGAGGACAATCAACCTGGCTCAGATAAATGCCTGTGATGCTTCCTAAGAAATATTTGCATGAAACAGGGTAAGAGCCCTGGCAAAGAACCACCCAGAACAAAACTAAAGGGCCAAATAGACTTCATGATAAAAAGTGTAGAAAAGTCAGCCAGTCCATTCTGTCTTAGGTTAGGCCTTACTGACCTCACTTCAAATTTTTTTTTTAGTAAAAAATCAAAATATAAAATGGATGAGCTCCCTCCAGAATACCAAAGAAAGGCAAGAGAATGATGGAAGTACAATTTCCATGAGTCATCCAACTCTGTTCCCATTTTTGGTACTGGGGATTGAACCCAGGGGCTGGCTATTAACCAATGAGCAACAACCCCAGCCCTTTTTAAAAATTTTCATTTAGAGACAGGGTCTCCCTAAGTTGCTGAGACTGGCTTTGAACTTGGGATCCTCCTGCCTCAGCCTCCCAAGCTACTAGGAGTACAGGTGTGCGCCACCACGCCCGGCTTCAGCCTCCCATTTTTAAAACTACTTTTTTTTTTTTTTTAATGTTGATTTATTTTCTTAGTTGTAGTTGGACACAATACCTTTATTTATTTATTTATTTTTATGTGGTGCTGAGGACTGAACTCGGGTCCCGCCTGTGCTAGGTGAGCGCTCTACTGATGAGCCACAATCCCAGCCCCTTAACATCCCTTTTCTTGCTCTCACAGTTCCAAATTTATTTCAATAATAATAAAGGGGAGTAGAAACAGACATATCCATGTTATTCACTTCACATAAAATACACACACACACACACACACTTGTTCATTAAGGCTCAAAAACCACCTACATGCATGGCTTTCAATGAACTTATCATGTTCCACTGGACCCACAATCCTTGCAAATCGCCTCATTGTTTCATAAAGGTCTTGAACCTCCTTGGGATAACGCCGTTCCATTACTACAGAGAAAGTAAAACATAACCGTGTCATTGGAGAATGTAAGGATTCCCAAGTTGGCCACATTTTTCTCCCCCTCACAGAAGTGAAATGGAAGAACATTATTCCTGACCTCATATGACTAATTTACCCATGACAGGAAGCAAACAGGAAAGCTAAGAATGCAAAATACTAATCATAGTGACTGCTTCACAGCATCTCCATAAGGATTATCACTGGAGATCATCTCCATCACTAAGCACTAGTGACCTCCCCCACCTCACTGTCTTTTATCTGCACAGGCAATGCTATAGTAATGGGAAAAGATTAACGGTAGATCTTGCATTCTCAGAAACATGTTGGCCAAAATTTCTGGTATTACTACCCACAAGATAACTAGGAAATTGCAGACACAGAATCTATCTACAGGACATAGATTAGCCTAGAAAAGTATGTGCTTGCTCACATGACCCTTGTGAAATCTCCCTGTCTACAAATATTCAGGTGAGGTGTATATTTCTTCATTGCCCATAGGGGTTACTTTGCCTTTCTCCAGACCAAATTAACTAGTTCAACTTAATTAACTAATGAAGTTATATTTTGACAATTATCATGCAAATAAATGGTCACATATCCAACAGAGCCAGGAGCAGCAACTCTGGGGATCTCTTTTGATCAAATCTCTAATCAAAAGAGTAATATTTACAAAGAAGATGAGGAGTAAAACCAATCAACAACTGGTAAGTTGATGTGGCCAGGAGCTCTGATTGCTTTTCAGTGATTTTAACCATATTTAACTAGGTCAGCACTCTCTCTCTCTTTTTTTAAATTTTTGGTGCTGAGAATTGATCCAGGGCCTTGTGCGTGCAAGGCAATCACTACCAGCACAGCTGTATCCCCAGCCTAGTTCAGTCTACTCTTAAAGATAATTTTTCACATATGACAGTTATTTAAATTGCCTTTATTTTAGATGAATTTCTTCACTTAGAAGACACATTCTTATCTACTTCACTTAGAAGAGACATTCTTATCTACTAATTCCAGGAGTTGGTTTTAATTTTTTTTTTTTTTTTTCTTTTTGGTGGTACTAGGGACTGAACCTAGGGCTTCCTGCTTGCTGTGCAAGCACTCTACCATGGAGCTCCAGCTCCAGCCTTCCATCTTATTAATTTTTATTTTGGGACAAGGTCTCACTACATTGCCCAGGCTGTCCTCAAACTTTCAATCCTCCATCCTTAGCCTCCCAGGCATCTAGGTAGGTGTGCACCACCATGCCTGGACTAGGAGCTGACTGAATAAATACAGACTGATTATTTCTTTCTTACTACCAAACAAAAACAAAACAGAAATCCCAACTCATAACAAGGATAACAACAAAGAATCTGAAATGAAATTGGAAAAATAACTTTTTTTGTTTTACCTTTACTTCTGTGTATATTTGAAAACGCCCATATAAAAAGTAGGGAGAAAAACTACCAAGCTATCATTTTTTTCTGGGGGTGGGGGGAGGCCATTAGGCTTTTTTAACCTCCTTTCTCTTGCTCTGACAGTTCCAAATTTATTTCATAATAATAAAGGGGAGCAGAGACAGTGGTAGATTTTTTTCCTCCAGTACTGGGATTGAAACCAGGCTTTACGCATGCTAGGCAAGTGCGCTACCACTGAGTTATATCCCCAGTGCTTTTTATTTTATTTTGGAATAGGTCTTTTTTTTCTGTGTTCCTCCTCTCTGTTTTCCAAGTAGCTAGGATTACAGTTGTGCACCACTTTGTCCAGCTGCAGTAAATCTTTAAGATCTGAAGGGAAAGAACCTTACCCATCATACTAAGGTCACTTGTATATTCAATGTAACAGCAACTGGCTACCTCTGAAACCACAAAACACATGCTACTTTTAATGCTCAGAATCAGCTTCCCCTTGGTCTTATTCCTGGAAAAACTATAGTAACAGAACAATAAATCCAAACTGACCTGTCCACCAGTTAAAATTGGATTTATGTAACAGGAAATTTCTACCATGAGTAAAAGTCAAAACTTAACTGATCTATATGAAAAACCCAGTAATTCAGATAGAGGAACTCATTATTGTGTCTACCAGAACACGGATAATTATTGTCTATAGAAAAAGCATGGGAAATCTGATCCTGAATTATTTTTGCAAATCCACAGTTCTTGTTTTGGAGGGGGATACAGGGGGGCTGGAGATTGAGCCAAAGGCACATTTAGCATGAAGTTACATCCCCAGACTTTTTTATTTTTCACTTTTAAATGGGGTCTTACACCAGGTGCAGTGGTGCATGCCTGCAATTCCAGCCACGCGGGAGGCTGAGGCAAGAGGATCATGTTCAAAGCCAGCCTCAGCAAAAGTGAGGCACTAAGCAACTCAGTGAGACCCTGTCTCTAAATAAATACAAAATGGGGCCAAGAATGTGGCGCAGTGGCCTAGTGCCCGAGTTCAATCCCCAGTACTCCCACCCTGCCAAAAAAAAAAAAAAAGATAGGGTCTCACTAAGTTGTTTAGAGTCTTGCTAAATTGCTGGGGCTGGCTTCAAATTTGGGATTTCCTGCCTCAGCCTTCCAAGCTACTGGGATTACAGACTTTTACAAAAAGAGTATTATGACACATAAGCATTATAAACATTTTGAACACTACAATTATTATTATGAAAGTATTATTATTTCCTGAACAGACTCTACGTTGTAGAAAAAAAAGTACTGGGGCTTTTTCTGCCAGTTTAAGTTCCTCCATTATTTAAAACTGTAAAATTGGGGCTGGGGATGTGGCTCAAGCGGTAGCGCGCTCGCCTGCCATGCGTGCGGCCCGGGTTCGATCCTCAGCACCACATACAAAGATGTTGTGTCCGCCAATAACTAAAAAATAAATATTAAAAAAAAAATGTTTAAAAAATAAAACTGTAAAATTTAAGTTAGCAATTCATTTAAAAAGCCTTTGTTTACTATCATCATCACACAATGTTAAATATCTTTTTTATATACCACCATGCAAAATGAAAGCATCACTTTCTATTGATGTTTCTATAAAAATAATTTTATAACCTGAGGATAAAGGTTATTTTATGTTTAACACATTGTTTCAAAACATGACAAATCTAGAAAATGATCATTTTTCCATGCTGTAATTACTATATTATTGTAAAAAACTCTCATGTTAATGTTTTGACTATAAATTAATAGTTCTTTATTATCACTATAGATCAAAATGGCCTTGAAGACTTTTATATTTCTTTTGGTGCTAGAAATTGAATACAGGACCTTGCACATGCTAGGCAAGTGCTCTACCACCAGTTCTGTATCAGAATTTTTAAAATCGTCCTAGGTGATGCTAACATGCAACTTGAATTAAGAACTAGTGCTATAAATGATCTGTTATAATTTGGTATAATTATTTGTTAAATGATTTGTTAAAGCTATTCAGTAATATTAGAAGAAATTAGAAAAAATAGCCAATACTTACATTGAAATTTTCTAAGGTTGATTAATCCATGATCCCTTATAATTCTAGAATAAAAAACCATAATAATCTCTTTTAGAATAAGTTTCACATTTAATGTTTTTCATATGCAGCTTTTGTTAGACATCTTAAAACACTCTGAGGTAGAATACGGAGGTCCAAAAGAGTCACTCCCCACAAAATTCTGCAATCAGTGAATCACTAACACAATTTTAGGCTCTCCAGCATCACACATTTTCCCTCTTCTTGGGCGTTGGAGACTCTAAAAAGCTATTTGCTAGATGAATGAATCAATTATCACTCACAAATACTGAAAAATATGTGTCTGTCACTTAAGATGAACAGAAGGAAATCTGTGTCCACATTATACAATTAATCTATTCAGCTTGTGGAAATGTTAATTGAGAATACTCATTCAAGGGAAACCTGCTAACCATAAGAAGGCACCATGATCACACATTCAACGTTTACAACTGTGCATTCATAACAACACTTTGAAGCTATTTGAAATAAGTATATATTGTGCATCTTTAATGGAAGGGCATCATAAAACGTAAGATCTAACAGCACCTCTCAACAATTGAGTTCTTCAATACTCCCTAGGTCTAATTATGTGTTTTAAGCAAAGGAGAATTTAAGTAAACCACACAGGGTTATTCTTCTGGAACCTTTATTTATTCCAGAAGAATTCATGACTAGCAATGAAACATCTCATGGAAGCAGCTGGGTAAGCTTCTTCAGGCAGAGAGTAAACTTCACTTTAGATCACGTCTGGTCTCTCAGGAGTGCCTCCAACTACTCCCTCACATTTTTATTGCTGATACCACTATGTTTATACTTAGTAATATCTCAACATACATGCCTTCACATATACACATACCTGCACACTCACACCCTCTGCAAATCCCTCTCAGAACTGGTAAATCTCTGTAATCCAACAAGCATCAGGGATCCATAATTTCTAATCTGAATGTGTGTATGTATGTGTATATTTTTAGTTTAGGGATTGAACTCAGGAGTGCTTTACCACTAAACTACATCCCCAGTCCTTTTTAATTTTTTATTTTGAGACAGAGTATCGCTAAGTTGTTAAGGCTGGCCTAGAATTTGCAATCCTCCTGGCAAGTCACTGGTACAGGTATGTATCACCATGCCTGGCTGAATGTGTAAATATATAAAAATATGTAATTTATATTTATATATTTATATTGTATATTTATATAAATACATATCTATATGTATATTTATATATATATGTTTTTTGTACTGGGGATTGAACTCAGGGTGCTTAACCACTGAGCCACATTCCTAGAACTTTATATATTTTGTTTAGAGACAAGGTCTCACTGAATTGCTTAGGGTCTTGTAAGTTGCTAAGGCTAGCTTTGAACTCGTGATCCTCCTGCCTCAGTCTCTCCAATCACAAGGATTACAGGCATGCATCACCATGTTTGGCCTGAATATGTGTGTGTGTGTTTTAACTATTTTTTTAGTTGTAGACAAATAATACTTTTATTTTATTTATTTATTTTTATGTGGTTCTGAGGATTGAAACCAGTGCCTCACACATGCTAGGCAAAGGCTCTACTACCTGAGCTACAATCCCAACCCCTGAATGTATATTTTTGACATACTGTGAAGGGAAGGAAAACCAGGGTGCCTGAAACTTGTTTGGAACTTCTTTGTAATCCTTTTAAATGAAAGACTTCTCATAAAATTACAGTAGTAAGAATGAGGGCATTAAAAAGAATATAATGACTAAACACTTCGAATTGATATTATCCTTTTTTTCCAAAGAGCTTAAAACCCTGTAACCACATTATTCATGTTTTATCCTAACATCAACAAAGGAAGGAAGATATAAAAATAAGACAGATACTATCTCCATTTGACAAATGAAAAATTGAGGCTCAAGGAGAATAAAATTTCTTCCCCAAGGTCACAAGATGAGCCACAGTGAAGCATTCTTATAGACTATATGCAATCAAACAATCCAAAGCTGAAAGAAGGCAGGATGGTTTTCTGTACTTACTTTTTTCGTCTCTGTCTCTCCTTTAACCTCGAATGATAGATATCCACCACAGCCATCTTCAGAGCTATAAATAAATAAATATATATATATATATAATAAAAATTATATGTTATAAAAAATTAATCTTTTACCCAAACTGTAAACCTGAAATTTCTAACAATTCCATACTCACTAGTTTAGAAATATGTCCACTAAAAGCACAAAAATATCCTAGCATTCTGAAATTCTCTAATGATATATTATGAAGAAGTTCTTTTTCCCTATGTATTTAGTGTATGGCAGTACTCTGTAGACTACATTTTCTCCTTTCTACTACACATGTCTTTTGCTAGGTATTGTGGCACATGCCTATAATCCCAGCTACTCAGCAGGCTGAGGCAGGAGGAACACAAATTTGAGGCCAGCCTAAACAATTTAGCAAGACTGTACCTCAAAATAATAAAATAAGAGAAGGGCTAGGGATGCAGCTCAGTGGCAGAGAACACTAGGTTCAATCCCCAGTACCACACACAAAAATACATACATACCTCTTTTGGACATTTATTATGTATATTACTACATACAGTGAAATGCTAAAACTATGGCAGTATATGGGCTAGAAATTACATCAATAAGAGTAATCTTGGGAACCTAGGATCTCACAAATGCTAGGCAAGCGCTCTTCCACTAAGTTACATTCCCCAATCCAAAAATGAATATTAATGGATTGTGGTTTTAACTGTACAGGACTAAGCTCAAGAGACAATGTTAAGACAGAACTAATGTTCAGTACAGACATTTTCCAGAGTAGCAGCAACTGTTTAGGGTGGTAAGGTTCTGCTTTCTGTAATGAAAAGATACATTAAGTAGCCTAATCACAGTGCATCTCCACATAATGTACATCCACAAGACTGGGACCCTAATTAGAATAAGACATACTTAATGTTTGTATAAATATGTCAAAATATACTCTACTGTTATGTATAACTAAGAAGAAAAAATTTTAAAAAGTAGCCTAATCATCGTAAAAGCCATGCCCTACTTGGTTACCCATTTCCAATCCTTTCCTGCCTTTAGCCTCAGAAGTGGAAAAGAGACAGTGGATATGGTAAGTTTTAATCAATACAATAGTTCCAGTTTTTCCTTTCCCTGTCCACTTTTTTCTTCTATCCTAATTTCTCTTTTCACTTTATTCTTATATTTCTATGGTTCCTAGAATCATATGCTCTCAAACTCAGTATCTATTTGAAGCTTTAGATCTTATTGGTTACTTCTAGTCACATGGCCTTTAGTTGCAAATTTGTATTCACCCCTTGCCCATCCTCTTACCTTGGTTGTCCAAGCCAAAAATCAATGTAGACTCTTCCTTCCCCCTCTCTTCATATATGGTCAATCTTATCTAAATATTTGTCTCTCTCAAATTCATTTCTTCACTCTTAATCCCATGCTTTAACTCAGGCCTCTTTTCTCTTGTCATCCTGATGCCATCTTGTAGGAGAGGCATTATAATACTTTGTTCCTGCTTTATTCTAACTCACCCCCTCCAAATGGTGCCAGAGTAATATTTTACAGCACAATCCATGGTGCAAATCCCCTGCTTGAAATTCTCTAGTGGCTACCCATCCACTTCAAGAGTTCAAACTCTTACATATTATACAAGGCCTTTTACTGTCTCAATACTGCCTACCTTTACCAGTCTTGTTTCCTACCATTCCCTCATAGGCCCTATATACCACGCACACAAAAACACCAGGCCAAGATCACATGGCTACTGAGTACAGATAAATTGGATGGCCTGGTTCCAAGGCTGTGAGAAGGAAAAAAGAAATTGCCCCATTATGTTTACTTTTAGTGGGCTTACTTTCTCCATATTAGTCCCACATTCTAGCACTGCATTGACTAAAAATAAAATATATATTAAAAAAAAAACTTGAGATGCAGAAAATTACCACAGGCCGTTTATAATCAAAGGACTTCTAGGCTTAAAAAATGAAGACCAATTATTAACAACTCCTGAAGAAATTTTGAGTACTGTACTATGGAACATTAAACCATTTATCTCATCATGGATTCTGAAAGCATGTTAAGATTTAATGAATTTTTAGAAGATTCTGGAACTATATTAACAACTTCCTGTTTCCTTAAGGTTTGTATAAATTGAGAGTTTGGCATTTCATTTTTATTACTGATTGTATTCACAGAAGAAAGATCCTAAAGCACAACACATTATCCAAATATTAGGTAATATAATTTCTAAAAAAAACCATCAGACTTTGTAGCAAAGAATTTGGCTGTGTATGAGAATCACTTCTTTCAAGATAGCAAGCTTCTTTTCAAATTATAGCCTAGAGCCTCTGAAATGCTGATAACTCAAACAATAATATAATCTCATCCTGCTCTAAAGAGTACAGAAATCCAAGTTCAAGCTCAGCCCAGTGGATGCCATAAGTCATATTCTATGACAATAAGTTTTAAACATTGTTTTCAAACAAAACATTATGTGGACTACTAAGTCAGATCTACTCTTGCTAGATCTCTTACTCTAGCCCCAACTATCTTGACTAGCAGAAGTCCCTACTGGAATTAGACTTTAGGGAAGGGAGGAAAAAGGGGGGAGGGCTCTAATTAAGAGAACAACACACAATGGCTTATAAGAATCACAGTTTCGCCTGGCATAGAAGTACATGCCTGTTAATTCCAGCAACTCGGGAGGCTAAGTCAGGGGGATTGCAAATTCAAAGCAAGCTGCAGCAAAAGTGAGGCACTAAGCATCTCAGTGAGACCCTGACTCTAAATAAATACAAGATAGGATTTGGGATGTGGCTCTGTGGCCAAGTGCCCCTCACTTCAATCCTTGGTGCTTGGTGCCAAAACAAACAAACAAACAAAAAAAAAAAACCCCACCTATTTCTTTTATTATGTGAAAATGAACAAAAGTTGTTACACAAGTACAATTCTCAAAGGCTGTCAATACGGGACCCTGGCAAGATAACAGAAATAAATTCTGGATAATCCATATAAATATTTTACTGTGCATCTTGCTGCTACCTGCCCTGGAGATATTCTTAGATTAGAAAGTTCCATACCCAAATCTTACATGCTGGGCTGTGAGGGAATGTGCTATATATAAATGTAGCTTCAATCACTGAAAGATGTCCAGGAATACTTGTATCCAGGCCATTCTCCTGTGGGTCTGAGATTTTTAAAAAATTTTAAAAAATAACCTAAATCTTAGCAGGATAATCTGAAGAGATGAGCGAATGCAACCTTAAAAAAAAAAAAGTTTAAGTATTAAAAAAAAAAAAAGAGCTACCATGGATTCTTTTTCTTTGTTTCTAACAAGTTCAAAGATTTAAACCACAATGGTTGATTTTTCCTCATAAGTGCCAACAAATGAAAAGTAATTCAATGTTATCAATCTTAAGATTTAAGGTAATGGTTTTCAAACTCTTTTTCAGGTAGTAAACTCCTTCTACAAATGATATCTTTCTTTCTTTCTTTTTTTTTTTTTTTTTTTTGAGGCAGAGTCTGGCTAAGTTGGCCAAGCTGGCCCCAAACTTACTAGCCTCCTGCTTCAGCCTCCTGAGTAGCTGGACAGGCATGTGCCACCACCATGCCAGGCCATAGGACATCTTTCTTGATTATGGGGTTGTTCCATATAAAACTCCTGATACCACAGAATGCCCTATGTTCTACCTGTTTTACAAAACAATTGCTGTGGAATGGAGATGCACTTTATGTGCCACCATGGTGGAAAAGTGAAGAGTAAAAGAGTCTCTAACATACATTATAACCAAATACAAATTTTATAGACTTTCTTTCTTACTAAAAGGGAAGAATTGGGAAGTCAACAGTTCAAGGCAGGAAGGAAAACAAACATAGTAGTATTAACTAAAATAGCTGAGAACTTCTTAGGCTTTTTTTAAAAAATAGATTTTTAGTTGTCAATGGACTTTAATTATTTATATGCAGTGCTGAGAATTGAACCCAGTGCCTCACACATGCTAGGCAAGCACTCTACCACTGAATCACAACCCCAGCCTTATGTTTTAGGCTCTTTATATACCTTATTTGTCTGCTCAATAAAATAAATTCAATAGAAAAGAAATGTCTAAAGATCCAGTGGGAATCACTGCTAATTTTGCTAAAACATTTTGTTTAATTTAATTTCTACAATTTTTCTAAGACACTAACTTTACCATGTTGCTTCCTGAGATTTGTGTGGGAATGGCTTAATTAAAAAAGAAAAAAACCAAAGTGACTATATTACCACACACAAAAAAAAATCTATAAATAAATATTGCCAATGATTAGTTCTACTGCTTGATCACATCAGTAGTTTAAACTTGTTCAACTGGCTTTAGAAGACAAAAGGTGGGAAAGAATGCATAGAGACAAATGGGAGGGAAACTGAAATTCTCCCAGAAAAAAATTCATATTTGAAACTCTCTTTTCTTTATAAAGCACACTCAGATAGCAGCAACTTATTTCAAAATCTTGGCTGCATAAATAATCCAGGGAGGACCTCAGCACAGTAGGCAGAATAAAAGCAAGAAAGCAAACTAAGAATGAGAATCAGGGATTGGTTCATGTTCGCTTAAAGTGACTGGAAGCTCCAATACAAGCTGGCAAATAAAAAACAAAGATCATTAAACATGAACAACCAAAACTACCCATAACCTATCCACTGATAGAAGGCCTCTGAAATCTCAACTTTGGGGGAAGAACAGTCTCTCTGTGATTACACTGAGGGCTGATAAAGTTTCCCAACGGCTGGCCTTAAAATATTTCAAGAAGTGGGCAGAAGACAGAGGCAGCTCCTTCCCACTGCAATGTATTTCTAACATTGTTCAAAATAGCTGGCAACATGTTTCTGTTTTCTTGACAGAAGGCACTTACTGCTTGCTTGGCAAGAAAATCAACTCAGAGGCTTTAACTTCGGGAAGACCAATCAAAATCCTAATTGCAACCACATAAGCACAAACCTGTGACTCAGGTATTCCCCAGAAGCAAAGCTTTTAAATAAAAGTCATTATCCTCTGAGCTTTTAGCCAAGATACACACAAATAACTCTGTGAGGGGAAGACTATGTGACCTAATGGTTAAAGTCAGCAAGTAGAAAACCTTAGATAGGGCAGGGGTTGTGGCTCAGTGGTAGAGCATTTGTCTCACATGTATGAGGCACTGGATTAAATTCTCAGCACCTCATATAAATGAATAAATAAAGGTCCATCAACAACTAAAAAAAATATTTTAAAAAACCTTAGATAAATTACTTAATTTCTTTGCACATTTCTCTGAATGTAAAATGGGAAAATATCTATTCCTACCTCTCAACAATCTGATGAAGCCATAACAAACCAGAAACCACATTAAAAAAAAATTTTTTTAAAAAGCAACAAAAATTCAAAAATGTAAAGACAGTGGATATTATACAGTATTAAGAACATAGACTCTGGAGATGGCACTGCCTCTTGCCATTTGTATCATCGCAGGCAAGTTACTAGATCTTTCCATGCTTCAATTTCTCATCTATAAAATGGGAATAATAACAACACTCAACTCATGAGGTTTTTTTGTTTGTTTCTGTTGTACTGGGGATTGAAACCAGGCCCCTCCACATGGTAGGCGAGCATTCTATTACTGAGCTATCTTCCAGCATTTTTCTTTTTACATTTTTTTTTTAAGAAATAACTATTGAAGGGCTGGGAATATAGCTCAGTTGGTAGAGCGCTTGCCTTGCACGCATAAGGCCCTGGGTTCAACCCCTAGCACCACACATGAAAAAAAAAGGAAGTAACTATTCAAATCATTTGCTCATTTTTTTATTTAGTTTTTTTTAAAAATGTGGTGTTGGGGATTGAACCTAGTGCCTCATACATGCTAGGCAAGCGTTCTACCACTGAACCACAACTCCAGCCCTTCTTTTTACTTTTTTACTAAGAGCTTTATGGTTATACAGAGCAGTTCGGTTCATCCTGACAAACTGAAACACAAATGGACAGAACTTTTATTTTTTATTTTGAAACAGGGTCTGAGGCTAGTCTCGAACTTACAATCTTCCTAACTCAAGCTTCATGTAGTTGGGGTTACAGGCGTGCTTTTGTGAGGATTAAATGACTTCATTTATGTGGCAAACAAAAGTGTTATATATATATATTGGCTAATATTATTAATAATATTTAAAAAGTATTTTTCAGCTTTAGATGGACATGCTATCTGTATTTTACTTATTTTTTTATGTGGTGCTAAGAATCGAACCCAGTGCCTCACATGTGCTAGGCAAGCGCTCCACCACTGACCCATAACCTCAACCCTATTATTAATAATATTTATGTTTAAAACTGTCTTATGCAGAAACCATCTTTAATGATCACTTAAACGTAGGGCACTCCCAAACAGGTGAATGCACATTGAAATGAAGCTGGATCTCTGATTTACGAATTGTCAAAGGATATGGGCGAAGAATATGGGCCAAAGAAATACAATCTGAAAAAGGAAAGAGGCTCCATGCCTAGAAGAGAAACCTTGATGAAATAAGCTTTCCAAATAGAGGAAATGTAAACTTACTAATGTGCAACCCTATGTTGAAAACACAGACCCAACACATAACAGAAGTTCATAATGCTTCTAGGTTGCCTGGGTTGCGAGACAACAATGACCAGAAGGATGCTGAATCCATAATTTAGGAACACTGAGGAACTCAAGAAAAGAGGAGTACACAGATTTAGGAGAGTTTTTCACAAGATGGGGAAAGAGATGTCAGCAGAAAGAGATGACAGAACTATACTAAGCATCTGCACTGAGCTCCCACAACATACACGAGACATTAAAGGATCCAAGTTATGAGTCTTCTGCATCTCTTTTTGAACCAATAATTTTTCCTATGTCAATAAAACAGAAGATGACATTTAGGGATTTCAGCACTTCCTTTTTTCCTCAGATGTGCCTTCACTTATAGTACTCTTTCTGGACCCATTCTGAAAGCCTCCTGTTATAGCTGGAATGCCAATTAATTATTCCTCCATTGTATCCCAGGCCTCTATTATGGACTATACAAGCCAATTTTATTAGGCAAGTTCCAGAAATCAAAGCAAAAGCCTTCAGGTGAGGAAAATGGCTTGGTGGCACCAGGTGATATTCTAGATGGGTTCCAAATACAAAAACCAGCCACTCTGCTTCCTTCTGGTACTTATAAGTGAGGGAACATAAAAGGAATGTTAATGTTCAGTAATATTAGGAGTACAATCGTATAATGGAATGGTAATAACACCAACCTGAATTGTGTACCATCTTTCATTGGAGCCATTTACACTCTGACTAATCAGTGTCACCTCTTCTTTACTGGCAGGAGACACAGAAAAAACATCAATCAAGACTCCAAGGACTTGACCACTTGTAACTCAGAAACAAGTCTGAGGTTGATTCAGTGTCCTGATTTTCACTTTATCTGTGCCCATCTCTGTGAGCCAGGCACACTTAATAACTCCTTCTCATGGCTTCCTGAGTCTCCTTGGGCTCTTAGTCCCTTTTCTGGGAGAGACTGCTCGAGGGCAACATGCCCCACACATGGGTCATGCTACTATATTAGATACCTAAGAATGCAGAATCATAAACAAATCATCTCTGTGGTACCACCACCAAGGCAACCCTTTGACTTCCCATGCTGCCAAACCTCTTTAAAATGTTATATCTTTTTAAAAGTACCTATCTAGCCAGGCATGGTGGCTCATTCCTGTAATCCCAGTGACTCAGGAGAGGCTGAGGCATGAAGATTCCAAGTTTGAGACCATCCTAAGTGACTTAGTGAGACCCTGTCTCAAAATAAAGTTAAAAAGGGTTGGGAATGTAGCTCAACGGTAAAGTACCCCTGGGCTATATCTTAGTACCAAAAAATAAGTAAATATGGGGTTGAGGCTGTAGCTCAGTGGTAAAGCGCTTGCCTTGAATATGTGAGGCACTGGGTTTGATCCTCAGCACCACATAAAAATAAATAAAGATACTGTGTGTTTGTTTACAACTAAATAAATATTAAAAAATAAGTAAATAAAAGGTACTTAGCTAAAAATTTTATAGTTCACTATTGGGCTGTGGGAAAGATTATTATTCATTTATATTAAAGTCACTTATTTATAAGAACTAAAAACTAGTGCTTCTGTTCTAGTACAAATGAAAATCAGTGATTTACAAGGTTGTTGAAACTGTAGGAAGAGCACAAATAACTTATGTTACAGGTGTGAAAAGCTAGCTAAGCTAAATATCACTAATCAACTGCTTCTTTTTGATTTTTCTTTTTGTCTTCCCTTAATTACAGAAAGAACCACAAATGCATCAGAAAAAGGTAAAAATCCTGCTTCTACAAAGAATGAAGAGAAAAACTAATGCCAACCACTACTATAGTTTTATTTTATTTTAGAAATTGAACCCAGTGGTGCTTTACCACTGAGCTCCCCCACCCCCACCTTTTTAAAATTTTAGTTGTTGACACGACTTTTATTTTATTCATTTATGTGTGGTACTGAGAATCAAACACAGTGCTTCACGCATGCTAGGCAATCCCTTTAAAACTAAGTCACAATCCCAGCCCCTACTACAGTTTTCTTAATAATGTTAAAATGTAAGAATGAAGACTTTGGATTAAAGCCTAGAGAAGTGATTCAGCAAGTCCCTTGCAGAGCTGAGCCATTATTGACATTAGAGATTTTGATTTTTTACTTTTAAGAGGTTTTTTTTTTTTTTTGGTACTGGGGATTGAACTCAGGGGTACTCGACCACTGAGCCACATTCCCAGCCTATTTTGTATTGTATTTAGAGACAGGGTCTCACTGAGTTGCTTAGCGCCTTGCTTTTGCTGAGGCTGGCTTTGAACTCACAATCCTCCTGCCTCAGCCTCCAGAGCCACTGGGATTACAGATGTGTGCCACCACATCTGGCAATAAATTTTAATATCTAAAAGGATGACATTTATGAAGCTGCCCTTTTTGCATATAGAGCCTGGTGTTTGGATAAGAAAGATACAAGCCAGGAAACAATACTTTTTTAATTAAAGGTATGTATGTAGAGAAAGTGTCTATAGAGAAAGACTGAATGGCAATCTGCACACCACCTTAAAGGGAACAACCCATGAGATGAGAAAAGACAGCATGAGTCACTGGAATTGAAAAGAAGAGATTGACACAAAAGACTGAACAAATACAATGGATCTAGTGAGTGCCAAGGTAGTCTGCTTTCAAGTTTTCCTCTTTTAGTTCAATCTGCGTCACTTTGACTTTCATTAAACTTGTGTGGGAGAAAAGAAGAGGAATCAAATTCTGCAAAATAGAAAAAAAATTGCTCAAAAAATGTATACAGATAAAAACTTCAAATAAAATTTTTTAAAAAATTTTTTAGTTGTTGATGGACATATATTTTATTTATTTATATGTGTTGCTGAGAAGTGAATCCAGTGTCACAAATGCTAGGCAAGCACTCTACCTCTGAGCTACAACCCCAGCCCAAAGGTAAAATTTTTGTATTGGTCACTGGTTTGAGGACAAATACTCATACAGCTCTTCCACAGAGAGGAATCATGTTCTTCTTCTAGTGACAGTGTTGATTTATAATTCAACAAGTATCCTACCTGCCTTTCCCATCTAGGATATAGATTTAAAAGAAATAATGAAAACTGTTTGAGGAATACAGACCCCAATAGAGCATTACTGATCTATTGTATCATAATCAATTTTGGACTGAAATGAAAGAGAAGATGGAGGACTATTTAAGTACACAGTTCACTGAAAATGGAGAGGCAAAGGCACTCCATGAAAGCTCAACCATTTTGGGGGGAGGATGCAGAGTACTGGGAATAGAACCTAAAGCTTCATATGCTACTGACTACCCACTTTCAGTAACTCTGTGGCATTCAGCACTTAAATTATAACAGAAGAGTTATCATAAAAACTTAGAGATCTAATTTAAGGTTAGGATTCAGAAGTGCTAAAACTTCCAACAGTTTTAAGAAGCAAGAAATTCCCAATTTTGGTCTAAAAACCCTTGAAATTTTTCCATTCTTTTTCTTTGCTATTGGCAATTTGGGGGGATAAATTATAGTGAACGTTCAGTATCAGCAGTTACTGTAATCTCAAGAACTAAACACCATTTCCCTTTCTTCTAAGGAGAAATGAGGGCTACTTAACCAATTACCTCAGTCAAAAGAAAGATCACACAGCCCAAGGGATGGGATATTCCCAACTATTCTTACATGATCAATATTTTCACCATCATCACAAATTGTATTTGATATAGTCAAAACCCAAGTCAACAGGATACATTCAGCAACTTAATCATAAGGGGTGTGTGTGTGTGTGTGTGTGTGTGCGTGTGCGCGCGCGCATAGTAGCGCTAGAGACAGAACCCAGGGGCTCATGCACGCTAGGCCATCACTCAACCACTGAGCTACATCCCCAGCCCCCACCACTAGATTTTGAATTCCACTAGGGCAAGGTGCATGTTTTATTTATTCTTATATTCCCAATGTCCAAAACAAGTGTCATCTCATATTTGTATTCAATGAACATTTGATAAAATAAAATGTTACCATGTAAAATGTCTGAGTCATCTTCAACAAAATCAATGTCTCTCAAGTCCCATTCTGCATAATTGTCAAACTCCTGTTAGGGGAAAAGAAACCCCCCACCCCAAACCCATCAGCTTTGAATAATGCCTTTACAGTAGCCATGCTTTAGAAGAAACAGAAAATACACAAACCATCATTTGTTAAAAAATACTAAATGTGATAAAAAGCCAGGATTCTGCCACGAGTAATAGGAAATCATGGTGAAAATCTGTGAAGCTTTCAGGTAGTAGCAAAAACAAAAAATTAGAATAGTTGTAGGAGTCTAGGAATGAAGCCAGATCCACTGTTCTAAAATTTTTAAATACTCTATTCATTATCAAGAAAATTGAACTTTGACTAAGCCTTCAAATATTAGGTAAGAAAAACTATCTGTACTAATTTATTTACCTTTTATATTCTTTTGAAGACTCTATGTAGTTAATATTGCTTATACAGTTAGTTAATAATTATACTTATATGTAGATTTGTTCACATTCTACAGTTAGTTAATAATTAATATTAATAATTAGTTAATATTATACTTATATGTAGATTTGTTCACATTCTATTCAATGAGTAAAAATTATCAGGGTAGTCTCTATTGTATAGGTTTACAATATCACTGCCATGAACAAGATGTGGACATGGGTATCAAAATTGTTTGCAGTTTGTTAAACTTTTAAGCTGCCTCCAGAAGCACTATTGTGTTGATCAATAATAAATAAGACACTTGTGACTACATTCACATGGATTTTAATTCCATGGCTGAATGGGGAACATGGTTTTTATATACACTTGTCATTCTTTATATACTGGTGAATGCAGTTATGGGAATAGGCAAGTAACTGTCCCACCCACTATCTGGTTTTTTACATATGATTCTACTGGAACACAGGTATACATTTGTTTATGTATTATGTATGCTACTTTCGCCCAATAATGGCAAAGTTTAATTTAAACCAGACAAAGTTTAATTTAAACCAGAACTTTCTGACATGGAAAACTTAAAATATTTACTATCTCGTCCTTAATAAGAGGCCCAAGCCCTGATTTAGCTTAAACTTGAAGCTTCATAGGTGTGAAAAGAGAACCAGGCTATAAAAATACCATACTACAAAGAAAATAAAAGTCAGCAGCAATGCAACTTCAATAGTAGATTCTTGTTTCATAAGTGGAAATGTTTACAAATGAGAAAAGGAACTCAAATGGAGTCCTGCATAAAGGACCCACAAATGACAGTAATTTGAAAATCTACTTTCAGTGGCATGGGTAGCAGATAGAAGCCTTATCAGAAACAAAAACAAGTTTTTCCTAACTTATAGCTAAAAACAAGTTTCTCCTACCTCAATGAAATCTGCTCGAGCTGGCATGTATCCTGCCATGTCCCGAGAAAGCAAGGAGTCAAAGGTAGGTCGAGGAGGATCATCTGCAGCTGGAAGAATTGTTTTCCTCAGTTAATAAAATATCGGCACAAAGAAGTCACACAAAAAATTCCTTATTAACATGGAAATATTTTTGTTTGTGTTGGAGAGAATAAATAAATAAACAGTGTTGGAGAGAATAAATGTTTTTATGAAAAAGATGAAGCATTACAGAAACAGACTGTCTTCTTAAAAAAAGAAAACCAAGAATAAGAGATTCTCTAAAATGGGGAAATTCCCTCTGATTTTTGCTTTTCTGAAATGAAAGGAAACCAGTCTTTAAAATTTTTTAAAAAAATTTATTTATAGGGCTGGGAATGTGGCTCGCCTGGCATACATGCGGCCCGGGTTCCATCCTCAGCACCACATACAAAGAAAGATGTTGTGTCTGCCGAAAACTAAAAAAAATAAATGTTAAAAAAAAAAAAAGAAAAGAAACTTACAAGGTTTCTCAAAAATAAATAAATAAAATAAAATTTATTTATAGACAGGTTCTCACTAAGTTGCTTAGGGCCTTGCTAAATTGCTAAGGCTGGCCTCAAACCTGTGATCCTCAGGCTTCAGCCTCTGAGGCTGCTACATTACATGCATGCACTACTGCGCCCAGCAAGAATTCTATTTTAACATTATAGAACCGAAGTATTTATCCTGTCAGTTTCGGTTCTCTTATGCCTTAGGGTCAATCTCAATTTACAAATATCATCCAACTGAGAAGCAAAAGCACATTACATTTGGAAGTTAGCTGAAGGTGAATCCCAGCTCTAATATACAGCAGTTCTGTGACCTTATGTAAATTATCTAACAATTAATCTAAATTAATTAATATTTATCTAAATTACTATAATTATTATACAACAAATATTATAGTAATTATATAATAATTATTATTAAATAATTAACTTTCTGAATCTAAGTTACCTCAATGTGTAAAATGAAAGCACCTGTTCTATTTATTTCATTGGGTTACTAGAGGAACAAATAGTCTAATAAATTTTAGAATAAAGTGCTAAAATCCAAAATATTATTCAAATAGGAGGTATCACCAGCCTCTGAATTAGTCAACTATAAAAACTGTTTCTAGGGGTTAGGGATGTGGCTCAAGTGGTAGAGCGCTTGCCTAGCATGCATGAGGCACTGGGTTCGATTCTCAGCACCACATTAAAAAAATAAAGATATTGTGTCCACCTAAAAAACCCAAAAAATAAATATTAAAAAAAAACCCTGTTTCTAGGAAGTATGAGAAAAGGGGAGGAGAGAAAACATTAATATCTCATTACTTGTGCTTTGAATGTCATTCAGAAAAGATGTCTATTATAATTCATCATGTTTTTGGTTGATTTTTTAAAAAGACCCATTAATCCCAGAGGCACATAAGATTAAAATGTTTGCCTTCACTGCCACAACCAAGTAAACAAAAATAACAAACTGCTCCTTGGACTTGACATTGGGGCAATTAATGATAATAAGATAATACTGGACCCTGTTAAGCAACTTCTATCTATGATGACAAACCCTTGGATTACAGGGCCTGTACTCATAAAAGCATGGACAGGTTGATCCCTTTTTGACACTTCATCTATAGAAACATGCATTAAAGTTAAATATTCACTCTGAGTGGGTAGAATTACATGTTGGCTTAAAGGATCCAGGTGTCCATTATAAAACTGACCCCTTCTTGACATTTATAACCCTAACTCTCAACAGCTTCATTCCAACTCCTCCTATTTTCCATAAGCTCTTTATCTATCCAAGTCATCAAACCATTATTTATCTGCAACTGAAACAGGGTTCCAAAATGAACTAAGTATCTCTTACCAAATTAGGGAGGAACTTACAGTGAAATGGAATGGCTGTATCAGCAGTTTTTGCCTCCTCTGCTTGTTTCAGGTTTAGCAGGGTAGATGCAAACAGAGGATTATTGATGAAATGCTTCATGTAGTGTTTCTCACACTCCTCCTTGGTCTTGGTGCACATCTGATTAGCTACATCCTGCCTAGAGAAGTGTGGGCAAAAAAAGGAAGGGGAGTAATTTTTCCATGTATACATAATTCTAAAAGCATGATTTCTTCTTTCCATGTTTAAGTAAATCCATATAGCATCAATAATCTAATACCTCCAAACAGATATCATGGAGATATCAGCTGAACTATGAGAAGAATATAAGCCTAATCTTAGTTTAATCTGATGTTCTAAATCCTACTACTTAAAGATGTAGAAACAATGACTAAGAAGTTCTTTCTTGCCACGAGAAAGATGACTAGAATAATCTGTAAATTTCCTTCTGAGCTAGACCCCAGGGATGCTATAAATAATAAGCCACTATTATTTATAGCATTATAAGAACATGCACAATGTACTCAAGTATAGTTTTATTTTTGTGTAATGTTTTACGATATACAAAACACTTCACACGAACACACATTTCTCAACTAGAGCTCCTACAATATGCCAGACATTGAGCTAGAAAATTCATAAAATTATTTAAATTATTCCTAGTATGAACTCTGTGGTATATTATTATTATCATCTCAACTTCAGAGAAGAAAAAATAAAACTCAAAGAGATTAATAAACCTGCTCAAGAATATAAAGCTCCTACGTGACAAAGCCAAAATTTACAGACTTCTGATGATAGTAAAATTTCTCAAAGTGCCCTCCTCAAGCTCACTCTTCCAGAGTACTTCCCTAGTGCTTCACCAGAGCACTTCACTTCCTTCTTCTAAGCATCATTATGATCTGTTTTGTGTACTTCAATCATCTATATATACAGTTTTGATTCTTCTACTAGACTACGAGTTTCTTGAGGGCAAGATACATATCTTAATTCTTAGCTCTAGCGCCCTCACCAACAACCTTAGTGTCTTACCCACAGTGAAAAGAGAAGCAAGTCTCTGTTCTGTGTGCATGTAGCGCTGAAGATCAAACCCAGAGCCTCCCACAAGCACGCAACCAGTGAGCTATATCCCTAGCCCTAGAGAGGTGATAGTCTTTTTTGTGGCCTTTATTAAGAGGGAAGGAGGACAAGGGGGAAAGGTTTAGCCCATTTTAGAATTAGAATGGCAAGCAAAAACTGAAAACCTAGGCCAAAGATGACTAGTAAACTCCTCACAAGTGATCACTTTTTTTATCTTCTTTGGTATTGTCCACAGTACAAAATATTTTATGATGCTTAATGTTGAATAAATGAATTGAACTCAGGGCTCCTTCTTCAGGACCCTAGACATAGGGAGGCAGCATGGATTATTCTGATGAATACCAGGAAAAATTATATATACTAGCAAGTCAGGATAGGGAGGATCTAGTTAACAGTCCTTCATTAATAAGCCATATGATAATAAGAAATAGTTTTAACTAAGCTTCAGATTCTTCAGAAACAAAATATAGTTAATAATGCATATGCTATCTGGTTCACAAAACAAAATCAATGGTATGAAAGAGCTCCCAAAAGGTAAAAAATGAAAGTGGTGGGGGTTTTTAGGCACCAGGGATTGAACCCAGGGGCATTTACTTAACCACTGAGCCACATCCCCAACTTTTAAAAAACATTTTAGGGACAGGGTATTGCTAAGTTGCTGAGGCTGGGTCTGAACTCACAATCCTCCTGCCTCAGCTTTCTGAGCTACTGGGATTACAGGAGTGTGTTACCACGCCCAGCAAGTGATGGTATTTTTAAGTAAGTGCTTACTTAGGGCAAAACAGTAGTGAATGCAATTCAGTTCTGCCCAGCTTGGACTAAGGCAGTTTGACAGCAAAAACCAAAAAGTGCTATTAGGATGACTTGAATTTCATAAGCTATGATCACCTACCTCAAGTCTGACTCACTTAAATGACACGGGCATCTATAGCCAATAAAAATAAAATCATAAGGGAGCAATAACTAATAAGTGTAAAACTTCTCCACTATTCAGAAGGGAACAACAAACCTTCCCAGTGTTGATATTTCCAAAGTAGCCTTTTAGAGCTGCTCAGTCATGGACCACTAAACATCCCACATTCCTGTGAAGCATTTCAGGCCTGGAAAATAATGTGCAAAGAGGAAGAGAACTTGTCTCTGAGTCCTGAATCAATAGGAGAGCAGCATAGTTTTCCTCTTTTTGAAGCTCCTCCCTTCACCCTTCAACAGTGACTTCTTCTCTGAGCCCACTAGGGAAGGACCACTCTTAATACCAAGATCTTACCAATTTCCAAAGCCACAGTCCATCACAGCTTCTAAAAGGGCCATTTCTTCTTGAGCAGTCCAGCTGGGATCAAGAACTGGAAAGTCTGAAGTCTAAGAGAAAAAAGTTTTGACTAAGAACACTGATAGAAATGAAACTCAAGGAATCCCAACTGTAGTAAGTACTATAGTTAAATGGTTTTCATTCTCATGTTATTGAGAAACAACTAAAGTACATTCTTATTAGTTGTCCATCTCTATATTCACCACTAGCTACAAAGGTTCTAATAAATATTCTCACCCATAATTGCAATACCTTTCAAACTTGGCACAGAGGTAGAAATATAAGTTATGCTCCCATTTAGCTAAAAAAGTGAGAAGTTTTAAACTTAAAATTTTAAAACCAAATTTTAAATTTCAAATTTCAAAACTGTAAGAACCAAAAGAAAAAATGTAACAAACATGCAAATCAACTTGAAGGCATAATCATACAGAAAGGAACTAAGTGATTTTAAAACACTATAAACTGACTATATCTACAGCAGGCTATACCTTGAAAACAGAAAAGCAAACCAACTAAACAAAAGAAAATCTTAAACTGCTTTTTGGGGGGAGGTTTTGGTACCAGGGATTAAACTCCGGGGCACTAGACCCCTGAGCCACATCCCCAGTATTGTTTTGTGGTTTATTTAGAGACAGGGTCTCACTGAGTTGCTTAGTGCCTCGCAATTGCTGACGCTGGCTTTGAACTCACAATTCTCCTGTCTCAGCCTCCCAAACCGCTGGGATTATAGGTGTGCGCCACCTCACCCAGCTGTTTTCTTTAGTGTTGATAATTTTTCTGAGACTATATATACATGTTTTATGGGGTAAACCAAATTAGCAATTATGTTATAATAATTGGAAACTGGGAGTTTTGGCCTGGGAAAAAGAAGAGATCAAGGAAGAAATAGAAAAGTAGTAGTTTTGTATTTGAACTGAAAGTTTTACTACAAGGGAATGACAGGTAAAGTCAATGGGTCCTAAGTTACAGTTAAATAGGAGCAAGAAGCTCTGGAGCACTACTGAACAGTATATACTGTACATTTCAAAAGCTAGAAGAAAGGATTTTGAGTTTTCATTACCAAGAATTGATAAAATGAGGAGATAAATATGTTTAACCTGATTAAAACACTACCCAATGCATAAATGCATCCAACATTACACAGTAATCTGTTAATATGTACAACTTTAATGTTTTTGTGTTATCAGTTAAAATTTTTATTAAATATAACGATATGTTTAAGAATTAATAAAGTGAGCCTGAGGTTATGGCTTTGTGGTAGAGTGCTCGCCTAGCATGTGTGATGCACTGGGTTTGATCCTCAACATTACATAAAAAATAAATAAAATAAAGGTATTGTGTCTATCTACAACTAATAAATAAATAAAGAAAGAAAGAACAGACCATTTTGATCTATTCCAAATGGACTTTTTTTTCAGAATAATATTTTTAGAGTGTATGTTTCAAAAACATCAATTATACAAAAGAAATTGGGATTCTAAATGTACTCTAATCAAAATTTTGTTTACACATTTTTTAAAATAACAACTCATTTTTTGGTGATACTAAAATGTTATACCATTAATATATACAACTTTTATGTTTTAAGTACCAATTGAAATAAATTTAACTAAAAAGTGTTATAAAATAGAAAGTTTTAGTATGAATGTTTTGGGTTTTTTGTTTGTTTTCACAGTGCTGGGGATTGAACATAGGGCCTTGCATATGCTAGGCAAGATATCTACCAATGAGCTATATACCAAGCCATATGTATTTACACATAAGATATAATTTATCTTAAATGACAACCAACCCAGCAGTATGAATACTTCTAGTACCCAGTTCACAGTCTTTAAATACTACTTTCCACTAAAAGGAACTAGGGTTCCTTAAAGAAAAGGCTGTCGCCAAGTCTGGGTCAGGAAAGGAACAAGACCAGATTGAAACACACTGTCATACTGAGAAGCAAAGCAGCTCTCAAAGACTAAAAGGGTCATATCAAAAGGATTCAAGAGTCAACTTGTAGAAGCTCCTACTAACCAAAAAAGGAGTACTGTGAGCATCAATAAGGACAACCTCAAAAGACTAAAACACACCAAATATTTTAAATATCCGAATGATGCTAGGTAACCAACTTTCAAAACTAGAAATTAGCATTTATCCTGCCTTTCCTATACAAACTTTATTCAGGATGACCACATAGATAATGATAAGAACTTTCTTTACAAAATTATTCCAACTCATAAATTAAAAGATCACGGGCTGGTGATACAGCTCAGTTGGTGGAGTGGAGTGCTTGAATCACACACACAAGGCCCTGGGTTCGATCCCTAGCATCACAATAAAAAAATAAATAAATAAATAAAAATTAAAAGATCACTATTTTGCAACTCCTGACCAATAAACAGATCTAGACAATGATTATAAATGAATTTGTTGTAGCCAGTGAACATAATTTCCAGTAAACACAAAAGATGGAAGAACAGGTTAATAAGCAAAACCTGGACTGTACTAACACCTATAAGGTGAACAACCCAGTTTTTAAGCATTAGATAAATTGGCACAGTGGCATATGCCTGTAATCCCAGCGACTCTAGAGGCTGGGGCAGGAGAATCCCAAGTTCAAAGCCAGCCTCAACAACTCAGGGAGAATCAGTCTCAAAATAAGAGAAATATAGGGGCTGAGGTTGTAGCTCAGTAATAGAGCGCTTGCCTCACAAGTACAAAGTACTGGGTTCGATCCTTAGCACCACATCAAAATAAATAAATAAAATAAAGGTATCGTTTCCATCTATAACTAAAAGAAAATTTAAAAAAAAGAGAGAGAAATATAAAGGGTGGGGGTGTAGTGATAAAGTACTAAACCAGTAACAACAACAACAAAATTAAAGAGAGAGAATGGATAAATAAATTGCATATATTCACACAATAACATATCACTCAGTAATTATAAGGAATGACTACTAATATACACATAAATAAATACATCTCAAAAACATGCTGAGTGAAAGAAACTAGAAACAAAGGCACACACAGTAGGATTCCATTTATATGCAGTTCTGCAGTATGCAAAACTGACTATGTTGATAAAAATCAGAACAGTGATAACTTCATAGGTGGAGAAGTAGATAGGATTTTAAAAATAAAGACTTTATGAGATGACTGGAAATTGACCAGAATTACTTAAGAGACCTAAATGAAACATTTAAATGCTATAATGTCTGGGAGGATTTGCTTCAAAATAATGCAGAAGGGTGAGGGTTTCAATCAAACAAGATTAGCCATAAATTGATCATTTTAAGAGCTAGGGTGGGTATATGGAAATTTATTTTTCTATATGTGGTAGCTGGTTACAGTAGTGGCCCCTGATGAATTTCTCTTAGAATTTTCATTTAATATGGGCTTGGACCTGTGACTTGCTCTTTTGAAGACCTAGCAGCTTCCACTTTTGCACTCCTAAGACACCAAATAAAAAAATCTAACCCTCTTGCTGGAAAGACCATTTGGAGAGGCCATATGTAGAAATGACCCTGAGACCACGTGGAGAACCAAGGCCTCAGTTAAGAGGTTTTAGCTAACCTCCAATCAATTCAAGCTATCCTAATGAGGTGCCAGAGGTCTATGAAGAAAGTCTGGTGTACTTCTCTAACTCCAGTACCTCATGTGGAGCTAAGGGCCACTCTATCTTGAAAGATAATTAAATGGTTGTTACTTTATTTTTTAAAAATATTTATTGTTAAGTTTTAGGTGGACACAATACCTTTATTTTACATTTATGTGGTGCTAAGGATCGAACCCACTGTCTTGTGCATGCTAGGTGAGCATTCTACCACTGAGCCACAACCCCAGCCCCTGGTTGTTACTTTAAGTCACAAATTTTGAGGAAGTAGCTATGTAGCAACAGATACTCAAACACCATTCTCTCTAATGTCTGTTTGAAATATTCCATAAGAAGTTTCATAAAGTGATACAATAGGTCTCCTGATAACAGATATTTAGAAACATCTTACATTTTTTGTTAGTGATTAAAAAATCTGTCATGATTAACAAAATTATACAACCAATAAGCAACACATTTTGATTTAACTACATACTATGAATATACGCCTAGCATATGCGCTATTATGAGATCCAAGAAACACTCCTTGGAGGCTATGTCTATATTAAATTCATACTAATCATTCTCAATCTGGCAAGTACCATAATGATATGTAAATATGACAACTCACACATTAGTTGAAGAGCCAGTTCTAAAACTGTATTTTGAAATATTAATTACTCCTTACCAACTTCACTGAGAGATAAACAATAAAAAAATTTTACACTACAGGTTGAAAAAAAAAAAAAAAGGCTAAAGGCAGTTTTTCTTGATGTTGTATCAATGTTATTTAACTAGTGGACCCAAACTCAGCCCTATTGAACCAGAATCTCCAACAGTAGGGACTAGACATCTATATTTCTAAGAAGATTCCAGATGATTCTTATGCACTAAAGCTTATAAATCACGGATATAAAGGGTGTGGTAGAAAGAGCTGCCTTTACTTGTTCAAGGTTCTGAGAATTACAAGACAAAAGTAAGTATAGAACTCAGAAATCTTGATTAATGCACCACCCACCACAGCATGAGTAACTCCCCAAAATACAGCACTGTGAGATGACAAAAGTACTAAAAATCATTTAAAGTTATTTGAAGCTTCTTATGCAAAAAATCGAATTTTTAGCAGCTTCACATGTAGAAAACCAAAATTTGGTCATCATTCCCACAGAAGAAAAGATTCACTGGAATAGATAAGATTGGCCAAAAAAAAAGAGAGAGAGTATTAGTAATCCTCAAAAGCTCCCCAAAGGAAAGTAGAGAACTCTGAAATGTGTTTGTATGGGTGCTGAAAACATGAGAAAAGGATGATGTAATCAGAATTAAGTAAACTTGGAACGAAACAGTATTTTCAGCATTAAGCAGAAGATGAGGTACCCAGAATAGCTCATGGTCAATTTTTCTCCAGTGAAAAAGCATGACTATCAACCTACCCAAGCTATACTGAATTATTTTTTAAAGAATTATTTCACCATCTTAAATTAATAAATTTGGGGATTGGGGATGTAGCTCAGTGGCAGAATATGTGAGGCCCTGGACAGGAGGAGTAGAAAGAGACGGGGGATGAGGGGAAAGGAGAGGAAGAGCAGGAGGAGAAATCTATAGTCTGACTCTAGGCATTCTTGTGTGAATCTGGGAAAAATAATCAGCTTTCTGAAGATTTGACGACTTTGATGAAAGGAACTCAAAAGTCAGAGCTACTGTGGCCACAGTCTTCAACCCTTCATTCATTTTGCAATTAAAATGGAAAAAATTATTCTAAGTCCTAAAATTAATGAATAGACTATTTATAAGACTGAAGGTGTTTTGAAAGAGATAGATGAAAACTAGCCAGTTTGCTCCCAAGAACTCTTACTGAGATGTTGATTCACACTAAACTTTTTTTAACTTATTTTATTTTTTGACATTTATTTTATAGTTGGACACAATACCTTTATTTCACTCATTTATTTTTCACATGGTGCTGAGGATTGAATCCAGGGTCCCGCGTGTGCAAGATGAGCACTCTACCGCTGAGCCACAATCCCAGCCCCTTTTTTCTTATTTTTTGGAACCAAGGATTGAACTCCAGGGCACTTGCCCACTGAGTCACATCCCCAGCCCTATTTTGTGTTTTATTTAGAGACAAGGTCTCACTGATTTGCTTGGTGCCTTGCATTTGCTGAGGCTGGCTTTGAACTCGTGATCCTCCTGCCTCACCCTCCCAAGCCAGTGGGATTATAGGTATGTGCCACTTCACCCAGCTCACACTAAACTTTTAAGAGACTGAAGTAGTCTATATGAGCCCTTAAAAGGTTTAATTAAATTTTTAAAAAGTGTGTTGGGGGGGGGGGGTGCAGAAGAGGTAGAAATACTGCTCAGGAAGGATAGCAGGAGGCAGAGGTTCCTAGCATTTCATCAATAACCCTCCAGGACTCCCAGAATTGATGGCTTTGAACATGACAAAAGGGAGCCAGGAACCAGGGAGTGTGAGTAGCCTCTAGAAGCTGATAAGCTCTGAGCAACAGCCTATTAGCAAACAGTAGCATCAGTCCTACCTTAATGCAATGAAATTCTGCGAACAGACTAAATGAGCCCAGAAATGGGCTCATTCTTATTTTTTGGTACCAAGGATTGAACTCCAGGGCACTTGCCCACTGAGCCACATCCCCAGCCCTATTTTGTGTTTTATTTAGAGACAAGGTCTCACTGATTTGCTTAGCGCCTCGCATTTGCGTCCAGATGAAAGCTTAGGCCACCAACACCTTGATTTCAATTTTATGGGACCTGTAGCAAACCAGGTGTGCCTAATGATTTCCTGATTTACAAAACTGGGAGATAATAAATCTGTGCAGTCTTAAGCTACTTAATTTTGGTTATTTGTTACAGCAACATAGTGCTAAATGATTAAACTACAATGTGAAATTATTACTTTTAAGCCAACCAGCATTATTTCCATAAGAAAAACTACAGAGAAGGCCAAGTGTCAAAAACTGCTTGGTGAAATTGGAGATTTAGTTAGATGCTCAATATGCTCTGAAACTGACAAAACTATTTTGACAAAAGTATCTGTTATACATACCTGTTGACTAGACTGGGTATTCACTTTGGCTTACTAAACCACCCATTCTCCCAGCCAGGGTTTGGAGTGGGCACTTAGCGGCATTCTCATTTTTTCTTTAAAGGTGGCAATACAATCAATCAAACAGAGCAAAGTCATAGTCTGGCCTATAAACCAGTTTGCCTCTTCAATGTCATTTTTATGTAGAGTAGTAATTTATTTGCTCTGTGTTCATTTATGATGTAACTCTTAGAGGATAATTAATTTTCACAAGGCAGAGGAATGGAGCGCTAGACATGAACTTCACCATCACCAAGAGGAACCACATAAAAATATCATTAGCAAGCTGGATATGGTGGTTCACTGCTGTATCCCAGAGGCTTAGGAGGCTGAGGAAGGAAGATCACAAATTCAAGGCCAGACTCAGCAACTTACAAGGCCCTAAGCAACTTAGCAAGACCCTATCTCAAAATAAAAAATCGGGAAAAAAAAAAAAGGGCTGGGGATGTGGCTAGTGACAGTGGTTAAGCACTCCTGGGTTCAATCCCTAATATTCACCCCCAAATGCCGTTAGCACAAAGTGACAACATACTGACTATATGTTTATCAGCAAACCTAAAAAGAAACATACCTCTTATCCTCATATCAGAGAATCTTGAAATGTATCTCCTTTAAACACCTTCTAAGTTTGAAACAAAAATCTGAGTATAACAATAATACTTGTTTTTTAGAGTACTTGTCTAGCATGTGTGAGGCCCTGGATTTGATCCCCAGGTCCACACATTTAAAAAAAAAAATGTAGGTTCACAAAAATCCTAAAAAACTTACTCAATAATAATTATCAAATTCAGAAGAGAAAAAAAAGAAAAAGATATTTAAAGAGAACTAATTCCCAATCTAATGCTTGAAAAATGAATGGAAAATCCCAGCAACTTCAACATTACCATTATTTCATAAGTATGATCACTTTGATGTTTCTTGTACTCAAATCCTCGAGTGAAACACTGTAAAGAAAGAAAAATTAAGTTACCAAAAATCTACTTTCCAAAAATGCTTTCGTAAAGGATAGAAGATGGTTTGTGGGTGCTCTAGCTTATGATGAAGTTTTTAAGAAAGTTAATTTAATCCTCTGTGCAGCTACAATAGGATGTTATATTTACAGTCATCGTTTTTCAGTGGCCCTTATGGAGAAAAAAAGGCTTTTTTATAGTATGATTCTCCCTCAATCAAAGCATGAATCCTGAAATCAGATGGCCTAAATTTGAACCCTGGCTCCGTACTTAACCATACTTTAACAATTCTTTTTTCATATTTTACAGTCTAAAATTTGGATTCACCTTGTAATTTAAAGTACATGAGAATTTTAATCACCCATTTTTACATTTTAGTATTTCTGAAATTGGGATGTTTTTTAAAATCAAGTGTTTGGGGATCTGATAAAACATGGTATTTCCTTGAACAAGTTACTTAACTTCTCTTTGCCTGAGTTTCATCTATTAAGTGAGGATACTTATTTATTTACTTCATAAGATTTTAGAGATGATTTAAGGGTTAATTCATGTAAAAACTCAAAATAGTGCCTGGCACACAGGAATCACTTATAATTAATATTGTTGCTACCATTACAACCCACACAATAGTTTGTTCTCTTGTCACCTCTACAGAGATCAGTCTTCAACAAGACAATAAACAATGTCATCAAATGGAACAATTCTCCAGTTCTGATTCCTTTAATCCCATTACTTTAATCTATTTGGAAAAACTTTTAAGCATTAGACTGATATGCCTTGTGGAACAGTCAACAGTCTGCCTCAACCATCTGGTCTGAAAGACTAACTAGAAGGAGTTGATATAATAAGGTATATCCTAAGCAATCTAATCTCTGAATTACTATATCCATAATCAGCCAAGCCTCTCCTTAGTGAGTTACCTGCAAGCAGAGAAAAAAAGGAGGTGGCCCACATTCAGCACACTTAATATAAGGCTCCATAAGGTAGGAAGAACAGCCTCTGCAAGGTGGCTTATCAGAGGGATCACCTAGAACAAAGAAAAAGAAAATACACAAGCTTTAAAACACCTCATGATTATATCATAAGTGCAAAAAGGTGAAAAATTGCAAATGACTACATAGAAAGTGAGCTGGGCTGAAAAAGTACATGGGAGACAAGATGAGCTCATTTCAAACAAGCAAAAACAAAAAAAGTATCCTCCTTTTTTAACTTTAGGGAAGCTTTGTGTACCTATGGCTTCAAACAGAAGTTAGGTAGACATGGTCCCCTGCAGAGAAAAGTATACACAGATTTTAAACAAAGTCTCATAAATCAATAGTGGAAAAAGAACATACCTACACAATACTTACAGATAAAGCATATCTGACAAAATGTTAACAGCTGAATCTAAGTAACAGGCACATAAGTAAACACTCTACCGTTCTTTTAACAGTAGGAAGGACAAAAATCTTTAAATACGTCTTGAGGTTTAAACTTCATGAGTTGAGATTTAAACTCAAGAACACTTCCTCCCTTTCTGCTGTGGTAAGCACAGAGCACAGCCAACTTTTTTCAACTTCCATGACAGTAATGTATCTCTAAAATATTAAGGCAAGGAGTATGACCTCAACTCTTTAAAGTCATAAATGCAGACATATGTGTCCTCAGTGGCCTCAAATTCTGCTTCTCTGGAATCTGGGCAACCCAGCAAAAGTATGTTCTGATCAACCACAGGAGACAAGAAAAAAGACCTTGAAAGTAGATGAAGAGTTTTTTTTTTTTTTTTTTTTTTAATATTTGTCATTGTAGATGAACATAATACCTTTATTTTATTCATTTATTTTTATGTGGTGCTGAGAATTGAACTCAGGGCCTCATATATGCTAGACAAGCACTCAACCCAGCCCAAGATTTCTTAAATTCTTTAATGGCATTTTCCTTAGTCCAAGAAATATTCCTCAAGGCACCTTGCTCTCCTCTAAGTGGCGAATATTGTTCTTTTATTTCTAAATGAAGACATGAAGGAAAATGACAAAAGAAACATACTCCTAGTTGTAGTTTCAAATTAGTTACAGGGAATATCAACTACTCAATTTCTCCCATTTTACCGATTTTAAATTATAACATGGAAAAACAAAGTTATTTTATATTAAGTGCTAGATGCAAATTTTTATCAAATTACCTTCTCTCACTTCCTTTTTTTTTTTTTTAAAGGGAAGGCTAGGCAAGATAGCACATGCCTTAATCCCAGCTACTCTGGAGGCCGAGGCAGAATGACTGCAAATTTGAGGCCAGCTTCAGGAACTTAATGAGGCCCCATCTCAAAATAAAAATAAAATGGATTGGAGTGTGGGGGTTGTAGCTCAAGTATAGCACTTGCCTAGCACTGTGAGGCACTGGGATCCAGTCTCAGTACCACATAAAAACAAAAGGTATTGTGTCCATATCTATAACTGAAAAAAATATTAAAAAAAAAAAAAAAGATTGGGGATGTAGCTCAGTGGTAAAACACCCCTGGGTTTAATCCTCAGTATCAAAAAAAAAAATTTAATTAAAAAATAAAACAAAAGGGACGGGGTCTCATTACATTGCCCAGGCTGGCCCTGAACTACTAGGCTCAAGCAATTCCTTTGCCTCAGCCTCCAGAGTAGCAGAGACTACAGGTATTCACTACCATAACCAGCAATCTACTATCTTAATATTTAAGGTTGTCTTTCTTCAAACTTTCCTGAGAAAAAAAGATTAGCTACTGACCAAAGTAGAGTTTTTAAACCCTTATTTCAAGAAGCAATTATTCTGTAACAGCAATCCATCTTAAAATTTTACACAAAATATGAATTGTCATCCACTATCAACATTTTGAAAAATATTTCTCTGAACTTTGTTCTACTTACATGTATCTTATTATTTATTTTCACAAAAGTGGAATACTAATCATGCTTTGCCTGTTTTTTTCTCTTAACAATACACTTGCAGTCATTTTTTTTAATGATAGTACACATAGATCTTCTTGGTTTTTCTTCTCCCTTTGTCCTCTTTAATGGATGAATGATATTCTAATGTATCAATTATCTAAACTGATATTCTCAACTACCCCTTTAAGAAGACATTTTAGAAATCTGAGGAGGTGCTTTTTTTCGGTTCCCAGATGACTAGGGAGCACTACTGGCATTTTGAAGACAAGAAACCAGGATTCTAGATACCCTGCAGTGCTTATGACATTCCTACACTAGGAAAATACTGACCTACATCCTGCTTAACTTTCAAATGTGCCACCATTCAAGTAGATGAGAAATCTCATACTTAGAGATGATCTAGAACCTAATTCCATATTACATATAAAGCAAAATATTATATATATAAAAATATGCTGTGTGTATGTGTGTACATTATTGTTTTATTCGAAATCTTATCAGGAGTTATTCAGGCTTATGCTATTTCTTATTCACTAATACACCTGAATCATTCTTCATTTGTAGTGTAAGATGCTCAGTGATTCAATATATGGGTACCTGACTACCTACTCATGTTGTTGTCTTTTATTATGTCTAAGAATATTCAGATATATAGTAAGTTGCCTTACTTTGTTATCTCTTTTACTTTGTCCCTTATTATAGTAGATCATTATTTTTATTTCTTGAAACCATATGTGTAAATACAGTATCTACATATCTATATTTCGCTAGCAATTAGTAAAATGGATCTTGAAAATATAAAAAGTAGCTGGGTGCATCGACTCAGGAGGCTGAGACAGGAGGATGGCAAGTTAAAGGGCAGCCTCAGCAAATTAGCAAGTCCCTCAGTAATTTGGTGAGACCCTCAAAATATTTTTTAAAAAAGAGGAAAAAAATCATAAAAAAGAAATCACTGGGCTAATATGATTGATAACAAACAACTAATCTAACCAATTCTCCACTGGTGGGGTGGGCATTTATGCATTTATGTTGTTTCTAACTTTTCACTATTACAAAGAATGCTGAGATCTATATCCTCGTATGTATTACATTTTATATTTATCCGCAGAATAAATATTTTCCTAGAATTAGAGAGGGTACAGATTGAGGGTTTTGAGATTTTTTTGATACACATAGTCAAACTATCTTCCAAAAAAGTATTCTAAAATATTTCTGTAATTTAGAAGCAGAGAAAGGCATTTTTAACATCATCCAATAATGAGGCAATGAAATGCTAATTAGACTACATAAACAAAATAACAACTATTTTTGGCAAAAACACCATGAACAAAGTAAAACGCAAATGAACTGAACAAAAATATTTGCAAACTTATGACAGATAAAGGGCTGAAATTCCTAATATAAAAAGAACTTGTCTAGCATATGTGAGGCCCTGGGTTTGATCTCTAACATTGAAAAAAAAAAAAAAAAAAAGCCAGGCATGATTGCACCTGGCTATAGTTTCAACTACTTTGGAGGCCAAAAAAGAATTGTGAATCACCTGAGTCCAAGAGTTAGAGATGGAGACCAGCCTGGGCAACATATCGAGAAACCATTACCTCAACCCCACTAAAAAAAAAACAACGCCAGGCACGGTGGTGGATACCTGTAATCCTAGCTACTCAGTAAGCTGAGGCAGCAGGATCAAGTGTCAAAATAAAATTCAAAAAGGGCTGAGGGCTGGGCATTGTGGTATACATCTGTACTCATAGGATTTGGGAGGCTGACACAGGAGGCAAGAGGATCGCAAATTCAAGGCCCACCTTACCAACTTAGGGACATCTCAAAAAATAAAAAGGGCTGGGGATGTAGCTCAGTGGTAGAGTGCCTGCCTAGCATGTGTGAGGCACTGGGTTCAATTCTCAGTACTGGAAAAAAAAATTAGGGGAAAAGGAGAAACATAAAAACAGCCTTAATTGGGCTGGGGATATAGCTCAGTTGGTAGGGTGCTTCCCTTTCATGCACAAGGCCCTGGGTTCAATCCCCAGCACCACAAAACTAAAATAAAATAATTAAGGCAAACTAATCAATCTAAGAAAGTTAAACAAAAATGGCCTTAATCATATGAAAAAATTATATAGTTTTAGTTATAAGAGAAATAAAAATCAGAACTACACTCAGATATAATTTCTTATGTATCAGATTAGCAGAGATTCCAAAGCTTAACAGTAGTTTCTTAGGAGAATGGGGAAATAGGAATTCATATGTAGTTGGTGGGACTGCAAGAGTACAACTCCTATAGAGCAGAATACACAGTATCTAAACAAAATTATGCATCTTTTTATTTTTTGAGCCAGCAATCTCATTTCCAGGAATTTACCCTGAATATATATCTCCAAGAATACATACATATGCCCAAGGTTTTATATTAGATTATTTTAAAGTATGAAAAACTATGAAGATGTCCAAGCACTAGTTTATTTTAATAAATCAGTGCTATCTCCACACAATGAAGCACTCTGCCACTATAAAAAATTAAGTGTTGGGGGTATAGCTCAGTGTAAGAGTATTTGCCTAACATGTACAAGATCCTGGGTTAGATCCCCAGCATCTCACACAAAGAGAATGAGAACAATTTCTGTAAACTAACATTTCCAGAAAGTACTATTAAGTAGGAAAAAAAAGTACAAAAAAAAAAATACTTAGTATGCTATCTTTCTAATAAGAAATTACAGAAAGCCAGGCATGGTGGTACAAACCTGTAATCCCAGTTACTTGGGAAGCTGAGGCAGGAGGACTGCAAGTTGGAGGTGAGACCCTGTCTCATAATTTTTAAAATCTTTTTTTTTTTTTTTTTTTAAACAGTATTAGAAATTAAACCCAGGAGTGCTCTACCACTAAAGTACATCCCCAGGCCTTTAAAAAAATTTTTTTGAGACAGGATCTTGATATGTTGTCAAAGCTGGTGTCAAATTTGCAATCCTCCTGCCTTAACCTCCCCAAGTTATTGGGATTATAGTGCCACTGCACCTGGACTCAAAATAAATTTTTTTAAAAAAAGGGCTAAGGAGCTGGGGTTGTGGTTCAGCGATAGAGTGCTCGCCTGGCACATGTGCGAGAGACCCTGGGTTCAATCCTCAGCACCACATAAAAATAAATAAGTGAAATAAAGGTATTGTGTCCAACTACTACTAAAAAAATATGTATTTAAAAAAAAGGGGATGGGGGAGCTGAGAATGAAGCTCAGTGGTAGAGTGCTTGCCTAACATGTGCAAGGCCCTGGGTTCAATCCCCAGTACTGCAGGTAAAAAATTTTTAATTATAAGGAAGTAAAACATGTATCTCTTTTTTAAAAAAATATTTTTCTTGTTATACATGGACACACAATATCTTTATTTATTTTTGTGGTGCTAAGGATGGAATCCAGAACCTCACATACACGAGGCAAGTGCCCTACCACTGAGCCCCAGCCCCAGCCCAACACATATCCTTTTATCTCTGCAAAAAGAAATAAAGGGCAGATAAACCAGAAAACAAGCAAGCTGGATAATTATAAGGGGTTAAAGGGGGACTGGAGTGTAGTGGAAGAGATATAAAAGGGAGTGGCATTTCTTCAAATATGTTTTTTTGCAACCATCATACTAAAGACTTGATCAAGCAAAATCAGAAGATACAAAATCATGGGAGAAATTCTAATTAAAAGCTGCATTTAAATTTTTTTTTTTAGTTGTAGACGAACACAATATATTTATTTTTACGTGGCGCTGAGGATCAAACCCAGTACCTCACACACGTGAGGCAAACGCTCTACCGCTGAGCCACAATCCCAGCCCGGCTTTTTTTTTTTTTAACCTCAAACTATTTCCCTTTGCATTGCTTATTATAACAAGGGAAAAAACAGAAATCATACAAAAGATATGTGGGTATTCTGTGTATTCTCATACAACTTTACTGCAACTTTCTGTAAGTTTAAAATTATTTCCAAATAACATGTTTTAACAATTATATTTTCAAAGATGGGGGGGGAGTAGTTTCAGCTTATGCTTCTAGCACTGGAACAATTTAGATTCTTTCTCCAAATGTAAAATGAAAGGGTTGAACAAGATGCTTCTGAATATATAGGAAGTGTGGTAAAAGAGTAAATTAGAGCTCCTTTAAGAAACTGCTGAAGAGGTTTGGGGTTGTAGCTTAGTAGTAGAACAATTGCCTACCACATATGAGGAACTGGGTTTGATCCTCAACACCACACAAAAATAAATAAATAAAATAAAGGTGTTGTGTCCATCTAAAACTATTTTTTAAAAAGTTGCTAAAGAAACAAAACCCAAAAGTACCTGATCTTCTCACTGGAACTACTAAATATCTGATAATGGGATTGCTATTTCTGGCAAATTTGATTTCTTCACAATATAGCAACATAAGTCTCCATAATTGTGGCTTCTTCAATTTATTTCACACCATAATTCTCTACATCATTATCATACTGTAGTTTACTCTTAGAACACAAGTTCCACTTACAAGGAGGGAAAAGGGAATATTTTCTTTATCCAAAATTAACACTATAAAGGTGCCTGATACAAGTTATTAGTTCTAAAGAGAAATCCCACTGCTTTTTTGTTAAACAAAAATATTTTATTTTTAAGTTTTTTTATTTTTAATTGACACATAATTACATATATTTATGGGATACAGTATGACATTTTGATACATGTATACAACGTGTAATGATCAGATCAGGACAACTGGCATATCCATCACTTTGGACATTTATCAATGCTTTGGGAACATTCAAAATAGTCACCGCTAGCTATTTTCAATTATACAATTAATTGTTGTTAATCATAGTTATCCTATCATGCACCAGAACATTAGAAGTTATTCCTCTTATCCAACCCCACTGCTTTTAATTACAGGTTAAACATACTAAGCCTGATCCATTTAGCTTCATTTTCTTCTAGGATCTAGGGTGATATATTTTATCAAGTTTTCAGTGGGTAATCAACACCTATTGGTTGATTTTGATTTGATACTCTTATAATTTCTTTAGGCTCAGATCTACAGGGCACTATTGCTTAACTTCAAAGGGCTTATTTTTCTTCCTTGATAAATTTCCATTTCATTTTGCTGTTAGTATTCACCTGAGACTCATTTCTACTATACTTACTGCTAAAGGAACCCAAACGGTCCATTCCCTAATTGGCAAAGATTGCTGCTTTTTATCTTCCTTTGTGCAGAGCTTCCTCAAGATCTCAGAACTGGTCAGCACATACACCAAAGCTTGATGTCCCCCTAGGAACAAACAAAAGTGGCACATGGATCAGAAAATCATTCAGAGATAGGAAAATACACAACATATTCAGTTATACCATTGTAATACTGAGCAAATTAGTTTACCTCTATTATGTCTAACTGGTATGATATAATAATATCTACCTCCTAGGGTTGTTCTGAGAATGTCATCATAATCAAACATCTGGCCCAGAGCAAGTCCTCTATAAATTATATAGATAGATATAAAGGGTTTTTTTTGTTGTTGTTGTTGTTTTGTTTTTGGTGCTGGGGATCAAACTTAAAAATCTCATGCATGCTATGCTGTGCAATCATTCTATCACTGAGCTATATCGTCCCTCCCTAAATGCTATATATTTCTAATAGTAACTGTTGCCTTTCTCTACCCAGCTTTCTCTACCCTTCTCTCTTAAGGCCTCTGTCTTTTGGGGAACTGACCCTTTAATATTTTATATGGTACTGGTAGAGGTACCAATCAATACTCAAAATCTCTACCTCCACAGAAGCTACACCAAAGATTTCTTTTTTTCTTTTTTTTTTTTTTTTTCAGAAATCTGGATCTTAAGTTAAGACATTGCTCCAGGATAGAAGGTAGACAGAGCTTATTAGCTAGTCAAAGAATTTAGTCAATAAGTTCTGGCTATTGGGTCCATACCCCCCATGGTGACTGGCTCTAATTTCTCTGTCTTTCCAATAAAAACTTTAATCAGAATGATTTTCTATTACTAAAAACCAAAAATCCTATCTATAAAACACATAGTTAACTAATTTACTCTTTCAACAAAATACAAAATACCTTCTTTGAAGGCAGAAATGAAATCTTATTTCACATTAAACCAAGAAACATCCTCTTTCTTCTATACACCAGAGTTTTCCATCCCTTTTCTAGAATTTTCCCCATATATTTTATGAAGATTACTTCTAACTGCACACCTTTTCTCACTTTAAGACTAAACAAAAACAGAGACTACATTCAATACAAATTTATATGCCTTTAAAGTATCAAATACATAGAATTCATTAAGTTCACTAAATAATCACAAAAGTTAGTTCTACTTGGGCTACTGAATAAATTCCAGATTTGTTAAAAATGTCTTTTTAGTTGGACACAATGCCTTTATTTATTTTTATGTGGTGCTGAGGTCGAACCAGCGCCTCACACAAGCACTCTACCACTGAGCCACAACCCCAGCCCCAATTCCAGATTTTTTTTTAAAAAAATGAATTCATCTTTAGTTTTCCTGGAGTGACTTTTTTCACTTTGATAAATCAAATGCACAAAATGCTCAAATCATTACCCATAATAAGGCTGTCAATCAACTTTCCCGTTTTTGGAGTGGAGCCTCCTTGTACAAAGTCCCAAGTCTAGTTGGTCTTTGACAAAAAATGAGGTTAGCAAGGGCATATTATACATCCAGTAATAAAATAATGGTCAACATTTATTGAACTTGTCCCATATGCTAGGTACTGATTGTTAACCACCCATGCAGATGATCTCTGAATCCTCACTACCTTCTGGGGTGAGCTACTTTTTATTTTTTAGTACTGGGGACTAAACCCACAGGCACTTAACTATTGAGCCACATCTCTATCCCTTTCTTTATTTTGCATCGCGGTCTCACCAAGTTGCTTAGGGCCTTCTTAGTTGCTGAGGTTGGCCTGGAACTTGGGGTTCTCCTGCTTCAGCCTCTGGGTACAGTTGCCCACGGCCTTTTTTTAATCGAACCCAGGGTCGCTTAACCACTGGGCCACATCCCCCTGTGTCCTCTCCACCCCTTTTAATGTTTTTTTTTTTTTTTTTAAAGAGTCTCACTAGTCCTAGCTAAGTTGCTGAGGTTGGTCTCGAACTTGCCATCCTCCTGCCTCAGCCTCCCGACAAGCTCCTTTTTTCATAAAGCTCTGCCTGGGGTGGTGGTGCACGCCTGTAATCCCAGCACCTTGGGAGGCTGCGGCAGGAGAATCACGAGTTCAAAGCCAGCCTCAACAAAAGCTAAGCAAATGAGTGAGACCCAGTCTCTAAATAAAATACAAAAAAAACAGGGCTGGGAATGTGGCTCAGTGGGCAAGTGCCCCAGAGTTCAATACCCAGTACGTCACCCCACCCCACCCCCCAAAAAAAAGCTCTGAAAGATTTAGAGTGCTTGCACAATGTCTTTCTGGTAGTGAACAGCTGTGCCATTTCAACAGAGGTGATATAGATGGTCAAATAAAGGATGTTTAGAATAAACGTCAGAAAACACAAAACTGCAGTATGCAGAATCTCCCTTTCTCTCCATCTCATAGAAGACCGAACTGTGACATTAACATGATAGGCGCCAGCTCCACAGAAACACTGGTTAAATTCAAATTAGATATTGGAATGTGGAAGAAAGGCGCTGTGAAAAGCGATTCCGCATGGTGCAGAGGAGACGCAGGCTTTACAGTTTTGCAGCCAACTTACTTGGTCTCTATTAGCTGCAAGTCATTTTTTTCCTCTTTGCTCCAAAATGGTGCTAACACACCTACTTACAAAGGCCTACTTGGAAATTTCACTTGGTAACGTCGATCAAGGGCATCTCGAACAGCACTGGTATAGAAGTGATTATGGGCTCCATTGCAGGGAACAGTACACCAAGGCTGGGACACAGCAGGGCCGCCCAAGCGCGGGGCGGGGCTCCGGCGGGGTCTGGGCCGGCCGCGTGCCGCCCTCCCCCACAGTGCGGCGTGGCCAAACGCCGCGCCATGCGAGGCTCCCCTCGCCGCCGCAGCCCGTACCTCGCAACCCTGCGTCCCCCCTAGGTCTTGCCAGAGGGGTTCGCGCCCCGCCACAAGCTTGCCCCGAGCCTCACCTCACCGCGTCTGCAACCTCGTCTCCGAGGAGCCACCAGTCGCTCTCGCTGCCAGCTGTGGCGTGCCCTACCCGGGCTTGCGTGCGCGCTCGACTCGGCGTGCGCTGCCCGGGTTTGCGTGCGCGGTCCCGGGCTGCGCAGGCTCGAGCCCGCCGCGTGTTATGCCCCCGCCGCCTCCTTCCCCTCCCTCTCTCCGGCCACGGCGGCCCCGCCCGCCACGCCTCTGCCCTTCTCCCCTTCGGTCCTTTCCCCTTGCCCCGCCTGGCCCCCGCTGCCGTTCGGGTGCTTGAGGACTGGGAAGATGGGGCTGAGACGTTTGCCTGACTGTTGAATCTGAGCAATAATCACTTTTCCCGAGTGGCGCGTGGCCCGTCGCCAGAGGCTTCCTGTTCGTGGTGCCGTTTGGTCCCCTCCGGAGCGGGGTGAGACAGGCCCGACTGGTGCAGTCTGGGTTTTGTGTTAACATTCCCACTCCCACCCCAGTTGCAGCCAAGGAAATTGAGGCTGAGGCACCGGGCTCCAGGACCGCGAAGCGGGCCGCCACTCCAGTCCCAGCCCCTCAGTGCAGCTCTTGGATTGATCAGACTGAATGGCTCCAGGGGTGAAGAGGGCACGTTTCCTTTAGATGCTTCTGCAACGTCGAAATTGTCTTCTTTGGAAAGAACCATCCCCTCTTTGGGATTCAGAGGCCCAAATGGAGGTGCAATGATGAGAGGATGTGGTGGTCCACTCTGATGTCAATCTTGAGGGCTAGGTATGTCCCAACATCTCTTATTACTACTACCAGTGGTTATTATAGTAACTACTATTTATTGAGGATTTATTGCATGCCAGGCATTTGTACAAAGCAGGTTACATATATGGTCTCATTTAAAGCAACTTTATGATGTAGGCATTATTTTCCCCATTTTCCAGGTGAAGATAATCAGGCACTGGCATATTTGTAACTTGGAATCACACTGCTAGGAAATGTTGGCACAGGGGCTTCCAACCATGGTTTATCTTAACCAAATACTATTTATTCAGAAGTATGTCTCTGATACATTCACCCAACCTCTTAGAATTCAATTACACTTCTACCTATGGGCCCCTATATTCATTTTTCTTCTTCTTCTTCTTCTTTTTTTATATGTAATACAAGTTGCTTGTTAAAAAAGAAAGAAAACTCATGAGCAAAAGTTGCGAAAAACACCTCACCATATTAAATAGTTAAATTTTGACTTATACCATTCCATTCATTTTCCTATGCATCATTTAAATAAATATACGATATTTTATATTTGATGTATCCTGAAAATATACTTATTTGTTAATGAGCAGACACTGTACTAGATGCTGGGAATTCAGTAGTGAGCAAAGCAAAGGCGCTATTTCATAGAGCTCGTATTATTTGGGGGAAGATTAACAAGTAATACACATATTCCTAAATAATAATGCCAGTTTATGTGGTTTTATGGAAAAATAAATCAGGATAAAGGGATAAGAGTAATGCAGAGATTCTCTTTTAGTTAGGGTGGACAAGAAAGGCCTCTTAACGGAAGCAGCACATAAGCAAAAACATAATCATTTAATGAGAAAGGAAGCTAAGTGAATTTCTAGAGGGAAACTATTCTAGAAAAGAAACAGTAAATGCAGTGCCTTGACATAGGGATTTGTTTGGAATGGAGAAGCAAAGAGATCAGAGTGGCATAGAAATTAGACAAATAAGATGAAAAACACAGCCAAGGAGCTAGATTATGTACCATCTGGTAAGCCATGATTGGACCTTGGATTTTATTTGAATGTGTTGCCATGAAGAGTGAGACCAAAGGAATAATCAGATTTACTTTAAAAGGATCACTCTGGCAGTGTTGTGGAGAATGGATGGTAGAAACATAGAAATTGCCTTGTAAAGCATCAATTGTACTTTTACACAGCAGCTAATTAAAAAATAATTTGTTAATACTGATGGTTTACCTATACCTTTACATCTACTCTCAATTTTTCCTGAAAGTAGAGTTAGAGTCAATTACTTAAACATGTTTGTGTGTGTGTATCACATAAACAGATTTTTTTTTTTTTTTTTTAGTCTGGCTGGGGCATATGCCCAGATCTGCATGTCATGACTATTAACTAACTGAAGGCATCAATGTTGTACTGTTATGGAATAAACAGTCCCACATAATATCCCAATCTGTTCATTAAAAACGTAGAATTCAAACGCTTGGAAATTACCCTCCCTCTTCAGTTGATTTTAAGTCCTCCTTAGAATTAATTCTAAGCACAGTTTAGTCAGTGTTGTTAAGAAAAATGTGGAGAAATTAAAATGCACACTAAGAGGGAGAATAACACGTATTGAGGCAGTGCTTTTTTGAATTTTTACCTTAAGCAATGGAGTGATAGTGGCATCACTTACTAGACCAGGTGAGGGGAATTTTGGGAAAGGCCAGCTGAAGAAAGAGATTTGGAGGAGAAATGAATTAAAGTTCTATTTTTGGATCTGTGTTTTGCCTTCAAACTGGAAATGACAAATGAGACTGTAGCTCAGTGGAGAGGTAAGGGCTAAACCTACATAAATATAGAATAGTTTCTTTGTGTCTTCCCTAAACAGAGCCTGGGGACAGTGTCTTTTCTTAGTAATCTCAGCACCCAGAAATGAATCTTCAACAAATATTTGTGAAATGAATAGATAAACGCAAAGGTATAGATGAAGTCACTTAGGCAAGATGCATAGAAGAGAAGTTATGCACTCTACTTTCTCTGGAGGTCCAAGCACCTGCACGTGACCATAATACCTGATTTGCTTAGGCATTTCCTTGTTTACACCTCATCTGTATCTATATAATTATTAATATTTCCTTGACTCACTCTTAAAAGTGCCTCAGTTTGCACAATACATTTTTGTGTTGTTCTTTATAAAAGGTCCTTTAGGATCTACCTTCTTCATTTTTCTTTCTCATCACTACTCTCTTATACTCCATTCTCCAGCTAGACTTAACTTGCTCCCTTTCTCCTTTGCACTCTTATTTCCAAACTTCTTTTGCCTACCTCAACTTGGCTATCACTTCCTTTGGAACACCTCTTCTGACCCACCTCCCAAAGTCTGAGTTAAGTAGATCTCTTACATGCTTCCAGTGCACCCTGTTTAATCTGTCGTAGTCAAGATGACTAAGTTTCTGTTCCCTAGCTAAACATCTTTATAAGGAAATCTGAAAAAACACCTTTTGCCCTTTTCAAGCCAAAAATTTACTTTAAGAATATCCAAATCAGGGGCTGGGGATGTGGCTCAAGCCGTAGCACGCTCGCCTGGCATGCGTGTGGCCCGGGTTCGATCCTCAGCACCACATACAAAGATGTTGTATCCGCTGAAAAAAAAACTAAAAAATAAATATGAAAAAAATTATCTCTCTCTCTTTAAAAAAAAAAAAAGAATATCCACATCAGCCGGGCATGGTGGCACACGCCTGTAATTCCAGCATTCAGGAGGACCCCCAGCACCATGTGAAAAAATATAAAAAATGACATTTCTAATTATCAGGGAACACAAATTACAGTGAAATATCACCTCATACCTATTAGAGTGGTTATCGGTTAAAAAAATAAAGAAGTAGCATTGTGAGTATCTGGAGATAAAGGAATCTCTTGTGTACTGTTGGTTGGCATATAAATTCGTTCAGCCATTATGGAAATTAGTATGGAGTTTCTTTTTTTTTTTTTTTATTTTTTGGTACTAGGGATTGAACTCAGGGCACTTAACCACTGAGCTACATCCTAGCCCTCTGTTGTATTTTTTATTTAGAGACAGGGTCTCACTGAGTTGCTTAGTGCCTTGTTGTTGCTGAGGCTGGCTTTAAACTTGAAGTCCTCCTGCCTCAGCCTCCCAAGCCGCTGGGATTATAGGCATGTGCCACCTCACTGGCCTGAAGGTTCTTTAAAAATTAAAAATCGAACTACTATATGATCCAACAATCCCACTTCTGAGTGTATATCCAAAGGAAATGAAATCAGTATTTTGAGATATCTGCACTCTAAAGTTCATTGAGGCATTATTCAGAATAACCAAGACATGGAAACATCCTAAGTGTCAGCAGATGAATATAAAGAAAATGTCCCCCCCACACACACACACAAATACTATTTAGCCTTAAAAAGGAAATCCTATAATTTCTAACAACATAGCTCACTCTGGAGGACATTATGCTAAGTGAAACAGGTCAGGCACAGAAAGACAAATACTGTATGATCTCACTGGTATATGAAATCTAAAAAAGTCAAACTCATAGACACAGAGTAGAAAGGTGGTTACCAAGGGCTGAGGGAGCAGAGATTGAGGAGATATTGGCCAAAGGGATCAATTTTTTTTTTTTTTTAATGAAGATGGACACAATGCCTTCATTTTATTTATTTATATGTGGTGCTAAGGATTAAACCCAGTGCCTCACACATACTAGGCAAATGCTTTATCACTGAGCTACAATTACAGCTCCAAAGGATCAAATTTTTATTTAGACAAGAGAAATGAATTCAGAGGTTCTGTTATGCATCAAATAATAACAAATCATTTTATTGAAAATTACTGAGTAGGTCTTAAATGTTCTCACAGCCACCAAAAATGAAGTGGTGAGGTAATGGATGTGTTAATATGTTGGTTTATCTATGCCACAATGTATACATATAATCAAACCATTGTTTTGTATATTATATGTGTGTGTGTGTATGATTTTTGTCAGTTTAAAAATAAATTTTTTAGTAAACATACCATAAGTTCATAAGTAAACAAATATTTTTACAGAATGCAAAATGTAAAAAGCAAAAAAATAAAAAAAATTTAAAAAAGATCTGCCCAAATGTATCTAGTAAACTTCTTCTCACTTTTGAAACTAAACAGTTAGCAGATATTAGGATTTTCATAATGTCTTGGCCATTAAACACAGCTTTCATAAATCCAGGCCTTTGTTACCTATCTCTTCTGCTTCTTCCTTAGTTCACTGACATCTTTCTCATTCACATAAAAGCACAGGAGATCAGTCTCATGGGTTCCCAGACTTTGGGTAGAATCTAAAAATCTAGTTGAACTAAAAGTGTTTTAGCTCTGAATGGATC